ACTCTTGATTCTGACGAAGAGTTACGCACACTGACTGATCATATTCGTCGCGAGAGTCATCTCGATGGTAAAGGTTGGACGCGATTAGGCCAACTGCTAATTCAGTTGGGTCAACATGACAAGGCTGAGGAGATTTATGATACTTTACTCAATCAAACATTAGATGACGATGATAAAGGATTGATTTATCATCAACTTGGACATATCCGATACAGACAAGGCTTGTTTCAGGAAGCCATAACGTTCTATGACAAATCACTTGTGCTTTTCAAAAAAACATTTCCTGCAAACCATCCTAATATAGCCACATCCTACAACAACATCGGCTCGGTGTATAACAGTACAGGTGATTATCGAAAAGCACTGGAATACTATGAGAAAACTCTTTCGATTCAACAACAATCACTTCCTGCAAACCATCCTGATTTAGCCACATCCTACAACAACATCGGCTTGGTGTATGACAATATGGGTGATTATCGAAAAGCACTGGAATACTATGAGAAAGCTCTTTCAATTCGACAACAATCACTTCCTGCAAGCCATCCTGATTTAGCCACATCCTACAACAACATCGGCTTGGTGTATGACAACATGGGTGATTATCGAAAAGCACTCGAATACTATGAGAAAAGTCTTTCGATTGAACAACAATCACTTCCTGCAAACCATCCTGATTTAGCCAAATCCTACAGCAACATCGGCTCGGTGTATGACAATATGGGTGATTATCGAAAAGCACTCGAATACTATGAGAAAGCTCTTTCAATTCGACAACAATCACTTCCTGCAAACCATCCTGATTTAGCCACATCCTACAACAACATCGGCTCGGTGTATGTCAATATGGGTGATTATCGAAAAGCACTCGAATACTATGAGAAAGCTCTTTCAATTCGACAACAATCACTTCCTGCAAACCATCCTGTTTTAGCCACATCCTACAACAACATCGGCTTGGTGTATAAGAGTACAGGTGATTATCGAAAAGCACTGGAATACTATGAGAAAGCTCTTTCAATTCTACAGCAATCACTTCCTGCAAACCATCCTGATTTAGCCACATCCTACAACAACATCGGCTCGGTGTATGTCAGCATGGGTGATTATCCAAAAGCTCACTTGTATTGTGAACGCGCTGTTCGAATTGCCAAGTGTTCAATGTCACCAAATCACCCGCATCTTTCAAGGTTCGAAAGAAACCTGGAATATGTGGGAAAAAAAACTGCAGCACTCTTCTTTTCGCGCTATAAAATAAAATGATCTTTTTTTCCAAAATCATATGTCATGATGTAACTTTCTAGAGAAGCATTCTATCGATGTCTTTCCATTAGAATGCACAGAGAGCCATTCAATGAGAGAAGTAGCGATAAGTTGATACATTGAATGTCTTTAAATGCTAACCGTTGGGATAATATGATTGATGTTAGGAAGGGTTAATCTTACGGTTGGAGTCGGCGACGTTTGATAAATCGTATCCGAAGTTAATGTTGAAGCTATAGAGGCCTTTCTATAGACACGAGTTTGTTTAAGTTTCTATAGCAACTCTTGAGAATGAAAGAAATCAGCTTTTCGAAAGGTGAGGTCAGAATACTTGCCTATCCGAATTCTACTGAAGGGAGGAAAAGCGAGAGTTCATACTTCAAATACTAATTGAAGTAGATGGAGTCTTGCTTTTCCCCTTAGGATTGTCAGTGGCTCGATCCTGAATGAAAAAGGACTTCTCGTTTCAGATGCGTTTGAATGCATCAGCTATCGAAAACACGCATAATCGTGTTAGGACGCGTTTATTTTGTATTTCGGAGTAGCGTGGCTTGTATTGTTCTACTTAAAAAAAAGCTACAATATGATCGAAAACAACGATCACATTGCTGAATCGTAAGCAGCTATAAAACATTCCATTGTTCCCTTTTCTGAAAGAAAGGGTTAGAGTCATCTATAGTTATCAAAGATTGACCACTGATGAAGTAATCGAGGTCGAGCATCTCGAATCCGATGTTAATTTTCGCAAAACTAATTAGTTAATTAGCTAATGATTAGTTCTTGTATAGCCGAATAAGGGTTGATCGAAGGGTAAGCTGAATCCAAGATCTCGAATCTATTGTTAGTTTTATAATAAAAATATTCTGTGCTGTTTTTTAGACAAAGGAAGTTTTTTTAGGCGATATTGTTTGAAGCAGCAATATGTAGAACAAAACGAAATAGTTGATTAACGTCGGATTGTTGAATATTCATACACCCTCAGCACATTGGTAGCATCACAGTTATACAAATGGTTATATTACACAAACATTGTCTGATGCTAACCACTCAAAATAATACTCCTCTCTGACAAATGTTGTTTTGGACAGTCACAATGGCACAAAGTCGGTGATTCTTCAGAAGGGATTCTAAACTAGATGAAAGAATAAAAGTTGGACATGAACGGCTAGTCGCGAGTGGCTGACCGACTAGATGTTGATTTAAAGAGTAATATTTTAAAGAACAAATTTCAGCGATGTTCATATAGTTTCTAGAGCGGATTTCTTTTCGGATAACATCTTCATCCGAATGACATGAAAACGGCTAGCCGTAAGTGGCCGACGAACAACTAGGCGTTTATTTCAATTGCTTAGAGATAAATTAAGTGAAAGTAAATGGTTTTTTATTTTGAGTAGTTTGAATAGAGTCGATGAATAAATTTTTATAAACAGTGTTCGCTTTGTTTATGTCTTTGGACAAATAAATTGAAAGTAACCTGACATGAGCGAAGCATGAGAAAATGAAAGAATGACATAAAAGTGACTTCAATTCGAAGCTGATTAGATGGAGATCTAAGTGATAGCTTCTATCTACTAGTTTTCTGATATTTTCAGAAAAGGGTCAGTAAATCCAACGGATGAGCGCTACTTCTGTGTACATAAAATTTGATTCCAGCTGATCGAGTTTTTGATTGAAAGCCTCGTATGTTGTTGTGAAAAAACTCATAGCAATAGAATCATGATTGTACTGTTTGAAACCAGTGGTCAGTACTTCACAGATTTCTGTGATGTTTGTGTCAACAATCTTGAGTTTTGCCCATGTTTCATGTCTGGATCTGTCGCCACAGAAGATGTAAATGGCATTGACTTGTGAAATGCTATGAATATCGGGAACCAAGTGCTAATCTAATGATCAAGATGTGATGATTGTAATGGCAAACTGGTTGAGTAGCTGACTGCTTCTCACGGTATAGATGTTTATTGACTACTCTACATGACCAGAATGTGTCTACTTCACAATAAGTCACACGCTTATATAGAGAAGAGAGACAGAGAGATGACCCGGAGATAATATGATATATAGGTGAGAGAATAAAGAATGGAAAGAGATGAACGATATCATTATCGTTACATTAATCATATCAACAAATCATCCTATGCATGCATGATCTAAGTTTGTTCCACAACGAGGGTGTTCACTTTGTCTTCTTTCTACACACCAATCAGTTGTTCGATTATTACTGCAGTCTCTGCACAGATACAATTAGCTCCTACTCAATAATATCGTTGCTGGTGACGTACTCCGACAGAAAAACCAAGAAAATAAACAATTATACATAAATAATATGAATAGCAATAGCAATATGATTTAAGAGAATTTCATTCCGTGATTTATTTTAAAGTGTCGCTCCGGCAGATCAGTGTTGCCACCGATCCGCTCGTTTTCGTCATCGCAACATGTGTTTGATCTAGTCAGATCATTTACCTCTTGGTAAGTTGTAATAAGCAACCTTCCCCTTCTTCTGAAAACCACGACATCTACCCAGTCCTTACACTTTTCACATTCTCTGTCACTTGTTTCGAAACTCGATGTGTAGAGACGGCGAAGAGATCGAGCTGCAAGCAACACGAGAAAGGTTGCTTATTACAACTTACCAAGAGGTAAATGATCTGACTAGATCAAATACATGTTGCGATGACGAAAACGAGCGGATCGGTGGTAACACTGATCTGCCAGAGCAACACTTTCTAATTAATCGAAAAAAAAGAAAAATTACATCTTCGATCTTTGTTCGGTTCTTCGCAGTACTTAGTCACACGAATGACGTCATTCATCTGTGAACTGATGAAACTTCGTTTCGTAAAAATAGAAAATATCAAATGTGTGGAGACATGAGGAAGAAAAGATGAAGGAATTTGTGATGTTAGTTATCGCTTCTCGGCCTTTTCGGCTAAGATCAAAGTGTAGTATCTGTTCTCGTCGGTTTGAAAGCCGGCGCTGGTCCCATCGGGGCCAGGCTCTTTCAAGCGGATTTTTGGACATGGGCCAGGATCACCCGAGTTCACTCGGACCTGTGCCACGGATCGTCTTGACACTGCAGTGCCGTCGAGTTCGGTCCACTCCTGTTCTTTCGGGAACGGGAATCATATTATTCAAATGTAAAACATGAAACCAAACTTCGTAGACGTAGATTTTATTGATACGTGTATCTGTAAGATTGGTTATTGTATTTTCCTTGGCGGTAACTTGAGGACAATATGGTTCCATCGAAATATTATGTGACATCACTGCGAATGCAATGAAGATGTGAATCGGTTCGTGGCAATTCGACTTCTCTTAGCTGCTACAACAGATTTACTTTTCGTTAATGATTAGGTCTATTTCTATATAATAATATAGTAGTTTCCTCGTTCAAACTTAAACTAGTTACATCTTATCACAGATGGATAGAAATATATCGCATGAGACGAGAAACATTCACTTGTGTCAAATCCGCAGTGCGAATGTAACTAAGATAATCGGCAATTCGACACAAGACAACATATAGTTTTTCTATGAAACATGTATCTGAATTGTTGTCGCGAATTTTATTCCTCTATACTAACACCGTAGAGTCCAGCTAATCCTTTGGACACATCAAACTAGTTCAAGATTGTTTTCTTTTTTAGCGCTTTTCTTCAACGATATCGACGATGAATACACACTTTAAATGAAAGAAATACGGCACCGAATCGATGGAAAAGATTCCACATGCGACAACATTTGAAAAACGACTTTCAAAATTTGAAACGAATCTCTCCTTGAGTATACACTCCGAAGTAGCATCCATGTGATTTTCTAGGACGAATAACTGTGTTGATAAGAAAGAAGAAGTGTTGTCGTACAATATTGATATTCAATCAAATACAAAAGGAAAAATCCGCAGAAAGAGGAACTAACAGATAAAGAAGAAAACTGTATAGGTGAGAAAGGTTTTTCAAAGAAAGAATAGAAATGTTCAACAAAATCAACTCATATATAAATGGAGAAGTAACTTTTGACATTCGTCACGTATAATCTATGCATCGCTTTTCACTGTGATTTTCTATCTGACTACCCAAGTGAATATCATTCATGGAACAAAATGATTTCAAAATCATGTTTGTCAAGGTGTGTACTCAATCAAATTTCTCCACTTCTTGATCAACTATGTTCAATGTTAGAAAATCTGTCAGTTAGTTTTCTAATTTCCGATCTCATTAGACAGTATCTCAATGGAATATTTACTGCTCTAATCATGATTGTGACTCAATTAATTCTTTTACTTATATTTACGAAAGTGTTCATTTTACTCGCTACTGGATTGTTTATATTCTATAGAAATATCTCTTAGTATCGAAAACATTTTCCTATATTTCAACTGTATATGAACAAGATCTTATCTCATTATGTGTTTCTTCGAAATACTGATGATGTTTTAACAGTTTATTTATATATCAGTTTGATTTCTTCGATTATTCGTGTTCTAAAAAGTATCATCAGTGAAATGTTATAGATATGTACCGACTTAACGATTCTTTGTTGGGAAGATTTGAAGCTAGCTTTAGTGCTTTCCATGGATTTATTCACATGTAATGTGTACATTGGCATCCATCTCATTTCGTCATTCATTTGCTTTGCAAACGTGTTTATGCAACAACTCTGATAAAATCGTCAAAAGCACGACGAAGTTAAGAAGTTGAAATGGATGAAATGAAGATAATGTCAACTGAAAAAAAGACTATTGAAACAAACAAATACTGTCAGCAAAACCATTGACTCAACATCAGATCGCTCACATCTACGAAGAGTTGTCCGGAAAAAGAAATTCGTAAGAAAACAGTAAACCATCTTTTGATTGTTCACTCGAAAATTTGATTATTCATGTTTTAGGATTTTTGCATCTTCGAATGAGTTCAGCAACGTTTATAGAATCACAAACATCCTATCCTACCATTCTTCATTCATTTTAGTTTGACCCTAAGTTTTGTGGTCTTGAATCACTTTCTTTTCAATGAAAATGGACAACTATAAAAATCTTTATTTGTCATAATTCAACTTTCATCAGTTCTTTTCTTAGTTTCAATCATTGAGTGAGATTCAGCAAAGTTTATCCCATTGATTAAAACAAAAAAACTCAGAAGATTGTTCCTTTTAACTGTTGAGATGGACTTTGACTGGTGTTCATATGGATCATAATGAACAAAATAAATGTCAATTCTTTTTTGTTAATTTCTATATGTTGCCTTGAATAGGCTGAGCATGACAAACTTTAGACAAAGAAAAGTAATGTTACTACAAAGGCTGAATGAAACTAATCCTAGCTTTCATTCGCTGATTCAGTCGATTGAGTTTTGACGGCCGAAGAAGGCATGCGAAAAGAAAACAGAGACAAAAAATGATGAATGAAGAAATATCATGAAGTACCATTCGATACAGAACTGGTCCGATGTCATACCTTGGCTATCGATAACGGAACACATCTGTGAAGAAACAACCGAATCAGACTTTTCAGAAATGTTTTACGGCACAGCATGAGCAACCAACATGGATCCAAAAGTAGTGGAAGTCGTGCAGAATTCTGTCTGCTACTATAATTGATGACCAACGTCATCACACCCTCACGTGAGATCATCATACTGTTTCATATTTGTTTTCTTCTTCGTTAATAAGAAAGTGTTGCTCTGGCAGATCAGTATTACCACCGATCCGCTCTTTTTCGTCATCGCAACATGTATTTGACCTAGTCAGATCATTTACCTCTTGGTAAGTTTAATAAGCAACCTTCCCCTTCTTCTGAAAACCACGACATCTACCCAGTCCTTACACTTTTCGCTTTCTCTGTCGCTTGTTTCGAAAGTCGATGTGTAGAGACTATGAAGAGATCGAGCTGCAAGCAACACGAGAAAGGTTGCTTATTACAACTTACCAAGAGGTAAATGATCTGACTAGATCAAATACATGTTGCAATGACGAAAACGAGCGGATCGGTGGTAACACTGATCTGCCAGAGCAACGCTTTCGAATTAATCAAAAGTCTCAATGTATATCGTTATATCAAGATATGTCTAAGTGACGAAATGTTGTTTAAATCAATCTTTTTTATTGACAGTTTTTTGTCAATATACATATACAATAATATAAGAAGAAATAAACACACACGCACACAAATTAGACACCGAGACATTTGCAAAAACACATCACTGTGGCTTAAGAACAGTTTTCATTCTTGTAAAGATCAATATTGCACATCGATAATCTCATCATCTTCATGTGAGGAAATCTCATCACTACTGATACTACTTGTGCCAATAGTATTGTCAAGTAGCTCGAGCGACGACTGATCCCTTCTCGTTGTTAAAGATATTTCATGTGTTTTCGAATGTTTGGATAAATGATCGGATCGCATGAAGCGTTTGCCACACTTCGGACAAACAAAACGTTTTTCGCCAGTATGTGTACGTAAATGACGCTGCAGTTCGTCAGAACGTGTAAATGCTTTGCCACAAAAGAGCCAAGTACAACGAAATGGACGTTCACCAGCATGCCAGCGAAGGTGTGCTTTCAAATGTGATGTTTTTCCATAAATTTTTTTACATATGTGACAGATATGTTGCCGTTTCGATGTTGACGAATCGGCTAGTAGAGATGAGGGCTGATTTATGCAGTTCGGACAGCGACAACGTTTGCATCGACGAGTTACAGAGCCGAACAAACTGGATGCGTGTTCATTAACACTCCACCATTTATCGGATGATTCTTTTGTTGGCACTGATGAGTTTGTAGTTGAACTTGCAGATGATAACGCTGCAGCAAATGATGGAGGATGAAAAGATGACGGTGGAATAGGAGGCAAAGGTGCTGGTGGTGATGATAATAGAGAAAACTGTGCCTGTAAGATTTGTAAAGCTTTCTGACGGATAATAGTTTCAGTATGCAAACGATCTAATGGTGACCATGTTGCTGATTGTTTTACATCCGTTGTTGATCGAGGATTTACAGGTATGGGTCGAGCAATAGTTGAATGAGTCATTGAATTCTAAAAGAATGAAAAGGTGATTTCGTATGACTTCTACATATATACGTATATATGGACAGAGTAGCACGTGTGTATGTTCTTTTATCGGCTCATTATACGACATCGGCAAGTGATCGAAGCTGCCACTGCTGCTGCCTCTTTTTTTTTTGAACATGATGAGTGGTATGTTCCGGTTAGTAGCAACTTAATGACACACACAAAGAATAATTAGATAGTATGCAAATTGAAGAAAGGCTCTAAGCGATCACTGACCATTCGTTTGATCTGTAGTTTACAACTTGATGACCTGAGGAAATGCTCTCGTTTACTGTGCGTTCCTCGTTGAAAGAATTTCGTTTACATACCATGATTAAGTTATGAGTAGTTGTTGATAGAAAAAATGGATGGGTCGAAAGGACCATACTATTCACTCGATAATTCGATTGAATGTAAATGTATATGGGTATGTGTATACTGTTAAGAGATATTTTCTCTTTTCTCTCTTCGCCGTATGTATGTATCTGACTTTGACTCCGCCTTTGACACTATGCCATTCACTTTCTTCTTTCTTCTCTATTAAGATTGCGATTGGTTGTTTGCGACACTAGGAATCGATATGAGCCAATGAAAACATATCTGTTTGCTTTTGTTTGATTGAGAAAGAAAGAGAAGAGGGGAAAACAGGAATGGGCGGCGTCGATCAAAGAGAAGAAGGAGAAAACTTAATCTCAAACCGATCCCTTGTCGTCTCTTTAAATCTGTCCGATACGTTGATTCAAATAATCAGTCGTCGTGAAGATTATCGTCTTTATGTATACAGAATAATTGAATCGTCAAAGCTCGTTTGTTTCTCTCCCTTTTTATTTATTGCCGACACAGAGATGTATGTGAGAAGAAAAGGCACATCCAATTCTCATTTGAACGTCTTCTTAATTTACTACAATCGTGTTTTGCTTTGACTGACATTCAATGCTCGAGGATGCAATTTGAGGATCTATAATTATCAGTATAAGTGGTGTCACTTGCATGTCAAATCATAGTCGGTATTGGTATGATCTTCAAACGAATCCATTTGACACATGTGCATTGTGAATATGAGTATAAGCACACACTTTCAAATTAGACCGATCTTCTTCAATGTCATATTTTTATTGACCGCTTACACATTTCTGTCAAGCCTATTATCATCATTATTTTACCTTTTCACACGTGCGCACTCAGCCACTACGATTGACCATCATATTTAAGAAAAGTCAAATGATGCACGCATGTAGATGAAAGGTGTGAACTATAAATTTTCTTTTGATTACTTGAATAAGATGGATAAAGGTGATGTTTCATTATTGATGAAAGAAAAAACAGTTCGCTCAGCCTGCCTGCTGCCTTGATGATGATCATCAACACAGTTAGTTTACTCGATGTCGGTTAAATCATTATGATCAATGGCTTGATTTGTCCGGTTAGCAGGAGGCCTGATATATATCATATGCCTTGTTCTCTTCTACCACTTGTCTGTATAACCAGGCGTTCATTCGTTTTGTCTATATATATATGCCTTCGAACAGGCGGTTCCAATCACGCCTTTCACTATGATCACAAAGAAAGAAGGCCAATCATGACAGGCGGTAAAAGATAAAACAGAGGCTAACTATGCATATACACGATCGCCCTTTCATTCCATTTGCTCTGTTGTTTTTTGTATCTTGATCAATAATGCAAAATGCTGCGCCTGAATCAACATTACTTTTAACAAATAAAACCTTGGGAAATTTGCCAGATTCTGTTTTGTTTTGTTTCACGACTACTTCTCTTGCTCATTCAACTGACAGAATTTCAATCGGATTAGGTGTGCAAGTATTTTCATTATCGTCTCAATTTCAAAAGTGCATCCTCTTCTTATGTTTCCACTTGATTAACGTCGGCGGGAGCGTTTTACATCCGATTTAAATTTCCTTCTTTTATTCTCTTTAGTTTGTTTGAGTGCCGACATTCATTCTCAATCATACATACAATCGGATGTACGTTTCAGCAGACATCTAAACACCTTGAATAGAAACACGAGAATGGATGCCCATTACGGCATTTTTCAATGTCTATCAACATTCGATACACTTATCGTCTTCGTTCTTACTACGACTGCTACCTTGCTCGATGATTAACGAGCGTTGTCTTCGGCGGAAAGACAAGTAAAAAGATCAAGAGAAGAAAGTATTCATCATTGAAATGTTTCCAGAGGATAAGAAGATTATACAAGCAAAATCAAACGATTGATCGTTTATCATTGATATCCAGCAGATTCCCGAAGCAGAGGAGTTGATCAATTGCGAAGACGCTATTGCATCTACTAATTTCTATCGTATCCTTAGAAGACATGTTTATATCGATGGAAAGTATGTTTTATTTATTCAAGACACCGCCCTTCTCATCGACGATGAGCTTGTCAAACGTGTGATATCGCACATAAACACTTTTCATATGAATCTTTTTCATCTTCAAGTATGGATCGGTGTGAAATATAAATAAATATAATCTTCGCTTGCTGTACAGAGAAAACAGTAGGAATGTAATACATTGCTTCGTTCTCATGAGGATAAACAAAGATTACTTTTTTTTTCATATGATCGATGTCGAGACAGTGACATTAGGTATGACTCTTTGATCTCGTACGATAGGTAATGATTTTGATTTTGCGTGTCATGCGGTCGAAATTTTATAAAAAAAAGAGCGTTAAAAGGAGGAATTGAATTGCCAATGTGAATGTAACCATCAGTCTCAATGATTTTAGTGTCTTGCCTTGTATTCTTAGAAATATATCTTTCATTTACATCATCAATTACAATTTACCATTTGAATATTTTCTTCTCCAACAGTTCAATCCTTCTACGTATACAAAAAGAATGCACAAAATGATATTGTGAATACATTTTTATATAGAGAATATTCATGAATAATTTGGTTAGTAGCTCATATGAGAAAGAAAAACGTGTGTCAAAGCTATCAGGATCTAATAGACGAGAAAGAATGGTGGAGAGCGATAAAAATCGTAATCGTTTGGATTCGAAGGATTTCCAAAGTTTTTGAGAGCTGAGAATCGAACTCGATATTGACCTTGAGGAAGATTAGATGTTGTACTGGCTGAGCAACTACCAGTACTGGCTGCTGGACATGCGTAATAATACCCGTACCATATGCATATATCCCCATCAGTAACTGACTGAGTTTGGATAGCAGCATTTCTCTGTACATTGGTTTGGTAGAATGGAGCACCGTTTGTTCCGTAGGCTAATATTCCCAAACTAAAAACGAAAATAAAACATAATTTAACGAGCAAAGCCTAGTAACTGGCATCCTTTGATTTTTCATAGGTACACCTCGTAATCATTGTTATCATGCAAAACACTAGCGGCTGCATTCACTTTCTACTTTCACTGATAACATTCATTATAGTGGTACTAAAAGCAGCTATTACCTTTGGTTTTGAGTCGGCAAACTGGTATCATTCACTGAAATAATCTCTGCAAAGTAAAGACGAGTGGACCACGCTAATACTGACAGGATTCTGATCCCTATAGTAGCATTCAATGTCTCTTGTTCTATGGTAGAAATATAGCCGCCACTCTGAGACACAATTCCTGTTCTGACATTGTTCAAAGCTGTTTGCACAATTATACGAGCATTTGAATAGTCACCAATTGCACCAGCATCTACAGAACAATGGTGATTGATGTTTAGAGCTAGACTATGTATGAGAAGTTTGATAAAAACGATATTTACATGGTAGATGAACAACATCGCCACTGTTTTGATTAGTGACATATATGAAACCAGAGTAGAATGGTAACAGACTTGCATTCACTGTCGTGGGTGGCATGAAACGAAGTGTGATTTGACGTGACTGCCCAGGCTGGAGTTGAAACGCACTGGGATCAATAGTAACATTCTACATCAAACAAATACAATAGTACTTATAGAGTACCTGCAATCAGTCTATTTCATCTACGTTGAATAGCATTGTGACTTATAAAAAGGTAAGCAAGAGTGTAGGAACTTACAGCGTAATCTGCTGAATATATTGGAACAGCCAAGAGTTGGTCAGAGTCTGCATCCTTTGGAGTGGCTAACGCTGCACCACCATGTGTAAGTTTGTATGATGCTGTCGTCGTACCAATGTTGTAAACTGTCACTGTGTATGATGACGCTGTGCGGACGGTATCATTCAACGAAAGATCACTTGGTGAAAGCATAGTTGTAGCTTTTATAGCACGACGAATATCAACTAATCCGGAACCTTGTTGAAGGGCGTTAGAAAGAAGAGTAGATCCGTAGTTGTTTACTGTTTGTGCTGTTGATTGAAAGATATTCATGGCCACGGAGAATGAGGGTCGACAAACTCCATTGCTAGCAATGCCACTAGCTGTACTGGGAGCCGGATTGCCCAAACTGGCAAGGAACAGAGCCAAAGTCCTTTAAAAAACATTGTTTTAGAATGAATACTCTAATTTATCGTTCAAATGATTTGCCAGTTAGAGTATTCTGCTCGCTATAGTTTACTCAAAAACAACATACCCAGCAATATAAGGTGTAGCCATACTTGTGCCCGAGTAAAGGGCATACATTCTCGTTAAACCTTGCATAGCAGCAGCAAAGGGTGAGATTGTTGAATAAACGCTCCCGCCAATACCACAAAGTTGAGGCTTCAAGAGAAGATCACCGTTTGGACCAATGGATGAGAAGTCAGAAACAGTTCCCGCCGTGTCCTATACATACAGATAAACTCACTCTAGCAATACACAATGATGTATCCTTTTTTTAAAGCAGATTTGCATAGATGCATCTAAGTCGTTAGCAAACATAAAATGTTTTACCCGTGTTATAGGTTCAACCCAGGTCGTGAACATATACATGGCGGATGAATTGGCAACAACTGTTGAAATAATATTCAATCCATCACTCAGACTAACACTTCCACTAGGAATATTCGATGAACCTACATAGAGTGTATTTAACTAGTGAGATTATCCTACTAGCAAGGCAACTCAACCCTCCATATTGCTAGTATTATATATCAAACAACCGATAGCTCCTTGAACTGCTGCTTTGTTGCAACGAACAGCGGTGCCACATTGGTCGTTATCTTGAAAATGAAATAGAACGACAGCTCCCATAACGACAATTGATGGCCCATTACAACCATCATCACTATTCGTTCCATTGGGATCTAAACAATGGGTATAAGTGGAGAATTCGATCGATATGAACTCATCTAACCGTTCACAACAATGGTCGAATTCACAATCGATCTCCAAGCACCATAATTCGTTCCGGGTTGATATAGAATTTTCGTGCTGTTCGGTCCAATCATGATCGATGCATTCGTCAGCAGAGTATATTTGTTGTCTATGGAACCAACAGTCATCGAAGCAGCTTCATTTGCTATATCGTCAGTCGTTTGAACACCTGCTTGTCCATCATTACTTGCCGCAACAGCAACGTATACTACGGGTGAAAATCGTACTTGGAAGTTACAAAAAGAGAACAAGCCTTGGTACCTCCGGCATTAGTAACTCGCTTGATTGCCACTCCTTCAGCAGTTCCTGGATAAGGACCCGGGGCGCCAAGTGATAAGTTAACTAAACATATCATTGACTTTTTAAATGATTCAGGAAAGAATTTTTTTAACGATCGGAAATTGAAGTGCCTGCGACTTAGAGACAGATGAAAAGAAACTTACTGACATCCGCTCTATCGTTATAGGCACGATAAATAGCTTCAGTGACTGCATCTATTGAAAAATAGAGAAGCTATCGAGTAACATAGGTAGATATCGTTGTGCACATACCCGATGGCGAGCCACCTTGACAACTGAATACACGATCTGTTATAAAAGAAGAAGCACAGATAGATAAATGACTTTCACAAAGTCTTACATGCACCGAGAGTGACTTGAGGTGCAACGCCTAGGAAGGGCATATACGAAGTGAAATTTAGACTGGTAATTCCTGTAGAGTTTGCCGCAATAATTCCAGCAACATGGGTGCCTATAGAATTCACACACGAAAGCACAGAACGAATGAGAAAGACATAAACTAGAGGATAAATACCGTGAGAGCTTTCCGAGCAATTATCCAAGGGATCAGGATCAGGCATAGCCACTGAAGTACCAGCTGAAAAGTCGTCTCCGACCAGGTCTAAAAACGTCATATATCCGCGATTTAGTACACATGGTTGACTTTATCTATTACCATAGCCAAATTCAACTTTACATCCTTGTCCAAAACAACCTCCAAGTGCAGGATGTAAATAATAAACACCTGAGTCAATGACAGCTACCTACACAGAATTTCATGAACTCGTAAGTAATCATGTTAAGACTAGTTTACATACTCTGACACCTGCACCGAAGTTTTTATACACGTCATGTATATAACTGATGCCAGTTGAATTGTATGAATTGATTGTATCACTGCCAGTGCTATACAATTCACTGTAGCCAAGAGTTCGTACAGGTTGCGGACGAGGAATAGTGTAGATCGGATAGACAGCAACTATACCTTCGATGTTTTCGATTGCTTCTACGGGATGATCTTGATCAACACTAAACGAAGTACCAGAAAATAATGACGACTGGATAGAACGTCGTATTGTAACTGCCGATGGATCAATACTATGGGAGAGTTGTAACGATCTTGTGATTGTACGAGCTTGTGTTCTTTCAGTGGCATCAAGTGCAAACTCAACCAGATAAGCACCTTTGACAAGAACATTATTTCCAATTTTTTCTGGAGCTGGTGCCATTTTCACTTTGGGACGTGCATCGTTTACGGATGGTAATTGATTTGTTTTAGCGAAAGCTGTAAAAATATTAGAGTATACCTTGCCTGCATACGAAAACTTAGTATCAACCGAATCCAACTTATGAACATGGAGATCCTCTCTGGTAGCGAAATGATTTCTGATAAAACAAACTCACTCTTTGCCATTGTTGATTGACATTTTGTGATATATGGCTGTGATGTTGTTGAAGATGTCGAATCTCCTATAAAATACATTCAATACATAACAGTTTATACACTGATGGAAACTAGAAGTTCAATTCTTAGAAGATTCTCCTTCTTCCGAACACGTGATCACAGATGTTTTCAGATCACGCCTGCGATCCATACCTGTTGCATTTGAGCTTGATTTCCTTGTTAAGACCACCGGAAGAACAATAACCAGAACTATTATGATTATTGCTACAACAATTGATGCTCCAACGACAAGGTATTTATTCTTGGGCTTTTGCATACAGGATGTTTCCTCTTCTTCATTGCTAAGAAACACATGCAAAGCGTAAAAAAAGCTCTAAAGTCTCTTGTGAAGGAGAAATCTAGCCGCTCCCACCGCTTAGCTTGTTCGTTAGAGAGAAAAACTCACTTGTTTGCTTGATATCTTGCAGCTTTAGGGCTTACAACAGCAACTGAAGGCTGTTGGACCGTCGGCGAGGACGGTTGTTGTGAAACATTTGTAAAATCAGCGTTGGTATCTCCCATTGAAGCTGATTCAGTAGGTTATGTTGGAATCTAATAAAACAGAGTAAACTTTACGAAGAAAAAAACACATAGCTCTCGAAATGAAGAGAGAAAATGTGACACAAAAATATGAATATAAACAACAGAACAAGCGTAAAGATACAACATGAATTATTTCTCAACGAAATTCGCTGCTTAACAGTTTTAACCCTGTTTTCTGTCTGCGTCGCCATAATAGAAAAAACTGTTTGAAGTGCACAAACGTTTACCTTAATGAAGCTCAAGTGTAAACGTTCCTTTCGCATTTAGTCTATTGCTGATCTGCGACTAATGCTACCGGCAAATCTTATCAACAATTTTCGAAAGAGGATAGTTTTCAAAATATCAATATTCAACACTAACGAAAGTGGGTACAGCGCACAGAGAAAAATGTCAATCATTTGAGTATTCGTGAAAACAACAATCACGTATAAATACCGTCACCACCCACCTCAATAATATTACCAATACGCATTAGTATAATATCAGTGCGTAGTACGTGCGTTTTTATTTTCTACAGGTCGAAACAATTTTTTCATCGGCAAGAAAAATCATATTTTTATTGACGAATGATTTAATTCATGCATCAAGAAGAAAACAAAACTGACGAAACTCATTTTATTTACCTTGAAATATTATGTTTTGATACATTCTTTACAGCGAGGGGCGAGTTAATGCACAAAAAACACTTATTCAACAGTATTATCTGATTGAATAGAAAGAAAGAGAAATAAAAATAGTCGTCATTAGCTAATGATTACAGTGACCCAAGTGATCCCATTTTGGAACATGTACTTGATCTTTCGAAAATGGAACAGGTCAAGTTCGATGATTGTATAGTTATTTGGCCTTGCTTACCATTGACAGAAAACAGAACCATTACGTTCTTATTTATTTCGATATTTCTGTTTGCAATGTATTCACTCTGCTATCAATTAAATACCGAATGATGATGAATCAGTGAGAGTAATTTATGTAAGAACATGATAAAATTCTCTTGGTATATAGATGTTATTTATTTAAAAAAAAGGTAGGTAATTAAATTATATTCATTCTTCGTTTAGCATGGACAACCGCTGGATTGAGTTGGCTGCTGATTTGTAGGAATTATGATCGGTTTTGGAAAATCCGGTGTTGGTTCAATGTCTTTTTCACGTGATAATGCATTGCGTGCGACAATTTCGAACGCTTTTTCAACGTTAATACCATCTTTAGCCGACGTTTCGAAATAGGGTACATTGGATTTCTCTAAAAGAAACTTCCTTTTTCCGAAGAAAGTTCGCAATTCATATCAGAGTTCCTACCTGCACACCAACTTTGTGCTTTGCGCGCTTGAATCTAAAATAGAGTTGTTTACAAATGAAAGAGAAACGATCAGTCAATCAATCAAACGAACCACACGGTTATCAAGATCAATTTTATTGCCGATAACCTAAATCGAAAGGCGATAAGAAATCTTTCGTACGAACAAATCATATACCCACCACAAATGGAAAGTTTTCCGGATCACGAGGACCAGCTTGCTGAAAAACATGAGGAATGTATTTCTTCATTAATCCTTAATGTAACTTACGATAAGAAATTCATCGCGCCAACTATCCAGTGATCGAAATGAATTTGCTTGTGTGACGTCATAAACAAGTACGCAACAATCAGCTCCACGATAGAAAGCAACGCCTAAACTTTGAAAACGTTCTTGACCTGCAGTATCCCATATCTAACAATAGCGAGAGCGAGTTTTCACAAGTCATTTTATGTGTCAATCTACCTGCATTGTCACGAGTCGATCATCGATCTGCACTTCTTTTGTCAGAAAATCTGCGCCAATAGTTGCCTTATATTGGTTAGAAAATCGATGGGAAACGAATTGACCCATTAAACTTGTTTTTCCTACTCCACTGTCACCTATTCAAGTCGAAAATATGTTCACATGTTTGTACTAGAAAAATCCTACCTAGAATAATGACTTTAAGTAAAACTTTCTTTCGGCTGGCCATTCCGTGTGCAGATATCAGAAGAAAAGAAATCTAAATAGTAGTCAACATAGATTATTTCGTGCGCTATTATCTTCCTTTATTGTTTGCTTTGAAATCTTACTCATCATTTGCATTTCACTAAAATAACACGCTCTATCTTTGAGTTGACTAAACGCCACACGAATGAAGAACAATCTTCTGTCGATGTCGCTACGAGTTTTTCATAATTTCATTCGTTATTCAAAAGCATATGATTCTCCATGATGCTGAAATGTTGACCAAGGGGTCATGACAAAATCTCATGAGTTAGAAAAACAAGTTGTTTTTGTTTTTGTTTTTTGTCAGATCAGATATTTCTTTCTTTGTTATACACATAGCAAGAGATAAATTACAAACACAGAAAAAGAAGACAAACATCGATATCCGCGTCACAATTTGTTTTTTTTTGTCTTTTTTCCAATCTTCACACAATACAAGCAGAGGAGGAAGAAGGACATGAGAGAGAGAGAGAAAGAGAAAGAGAAAAACAGAATAAAGAAAAAGTTATACACATGCACAATACAAAACATTATTTACAAAATATAGTAAACATTGGCATATATATTTGATAATATATGTAAAGTAGAGAATAGAGTGACAATAACAACATCAACATTTAACAACAAGAACAACAACATGAAAATATCTGACCCAAGACAAGAGAGAAAACAAACTCACTGTATAGACGCAGAGATATAGGTCAGAGAAAATATATAGACAATGTTCTGATTTATATATTGATTTGGCTTGCTTGTTTGTTTGTTTCGAAGTAAATTCATTCTTATCTTTCATACACGACTTCATAGAGGGTTGCTTTTTTATCACCGGAACCGGTCACGATGAAATTATCATCTTGAGACACATCGCAGCTTAATACCGACGAGCCTTCTTTATTCTAGAACAGAGAAGAGAATATTACTTTGTCTGAAAGCTCTCTTTTCAAAATACGTACGTCAAATAGTTTTGCACCGTAGGGTGTCTTCCATCCTGTTAGCTGATTATCTTTACCCGTTGAAGCAAACCACTTTCCCGAATGCGCAAATTTCAATGATAAAACACAACTTTCATGTAGTGTTAAACGATATTTGTCCGGTTTATTCGATGAAACATTGAGTACGTCAATCAAACTTTGTTCCATTCCCACTGCCAGCCAATCTCCGCCCGTTGGACAGTATCCCAACGAAAAGATTTGGGAGTCAAATTCAAATTGTTGCAATTCACGACCCTCACGAACATCCCAACAACGTACAGTGTTATCGAGACCACCTGTCCATACACGTAAACCATCAGGGGTTAAATCAATACAGCTTGCGCCATCCGTATGGCCTTGAAATTGTCTAGAGCGAGAAACGCAAGGTAGTTTTGAAAATTTCCATGAATCATGGATCCATTTTCTTACCGAACAATACTTTGATTTTGGATGTCCCAGACAAGAACGTTACCATCTGAACAACAACTGAAGCAAAGTTTACCATCGGTTGAGATGGCTAACGCATAACAGGCTGCTGCTTTCGATTGCAATTCTCCTTTAAGTCTCGTTACGGGTGAATTAGTTGATGAAGAATTCGAAGATGTCGACGAATTAGAATTACTACCATCACGGCCTAATGCACTCGAACCAATCAATGTTCCATTCGGTGTTGTTGATGGAGATACATTCAAGTCCCAAATGGAAATATTCGATGCTTCTCCACCGACGATCAATGTTCGACCGTCAGGTAAGAGTTTGACTGACCGAATATAAGCATCACGACTCTATGAAGACAAGAAATCAGAATTGAAACCTTTTCCGTTCGTAAAAATCGACTTACTAAACACTCGAATTGACCGATCGGTTTGTTTATTGTCATTGGTGAACTATTGTTGTCTTTCGTACTTTCTTTTAGATCCCAGATTTTCACGCAACCTTTTCCACCGGTATAAATGTGTTTGTTCAAATCCGATATAGTGACTGCACAAACCACATCACCATGAATCAAATGGCTGAGGATCTTTGTTCGACGCGGGCAATCAGTCATTTCGAAAGCATCCGATGGAAATGTATACGGTTGTAGTGATGCCGCCGATGGTGACGGATCGTAGGAATCACAATGGAACGAATAATGTTGTTTATTTCCATTTCGTTCGATCAAGTTTCCACTTGTCGCTGCACTTGCTGATGTTAACAAAGATGGCTGTTGTTGCTGCTGCTGCTGCTGCGGTTGTTGTGGTCCACGCATTGCCGAGTATAGATCTGTCAAGGAGTTACGAGCAGCAGCGGCAGCAGCAGGATTTCCACCGAATGCTGAATTGAGGCCAGCAGCGAAGGCAGCCAAGTTTTCCGGCATGAAGGCTCCAAACGGTCCATACGGCGCAGCTGCTGAAGACACACACACACTGATCATATTTTTATTTTAACAAATAGATTTAACTAGATATGGACGAGATAACTTACGCGGTAATTTCGGTGAATGTCGTACGGCACTACGTGAACTTGATTTATTCGTGGAGCTGCCACTCGAAGACGCATTTGTTCCGCCTGCAGCTGTTATTGGAGCTGAACCACTCTTTTCACTACCCTGCAATTCGACACAAACATAGATTTTTACTGAAAACATATCTAACGATGGATTATATTACCTTCTGCGAAGGTGTACTTCTTGCAGATCCGTTATCACTATGCGGACTTCGACTATTATCATCATGATGCGATGATTTATTTCGTGCAGCCAAAGTCATCTTCGATGAATCACCATTCTCATGTGGTGAACGAGAACCATTCGTTAGTTGTTTATCGTTCTGAATAAGACGATTTTCAATAATCATCTGTACATGACAAAGAAAAAACAAACCTCGTTAGTATCATCAACCACTAAATCTCCATCGCTCTTCTCGCCATCACTTTCCTACAAAACAAAACGTTTGTTTTATTAAATTTCACTCATTCTTCTTTCACAAATACATACTTCATCACGTTTATGTTTTTTCGACTCAAGTGGCGATCGACTATGTCCGCGATATTTGTCGCTGAGATGGTGTGGAGAATTTGCACTACGCTAAAATTCAGTTCGTATTCATCAATGCATTGTCATCTATAGAATCAGTCAAGTGCTTTACCTTATGTGATGATGCTGCAGCACGTTCAAGATTATCTACAAAACCAATGGCCTCGGTGACACGAACAAGTACAGCAGTAATATGCAGAACATACCTTTTTCATCTTTGAGAAAAGCTTGTTGTGCAGCTGCTGCAACACCTTGTAGAGCAAGTAGACCTGGCGGAAGTCCACTCGCTCCAGGTAAACCAAACGGCGATGCACCAAAATGAGGTCCTTGACCATGACCATGAGGAAATGCTACACCTTGTGCATGCATTTGTTGCTAAAGTATTCCAATCAAATGTCTTTCGGCTCACTTTCAAAATCAATTGACTCACTCCTATAATTGTGTTCAATTCAGCAACTGTCACTTGTTTGGCACGTTCAAGTGTTGCTGCAACTTGATTTTGTTGCTGAAAAAAGTAAGAAAATAGCTTCCACATCCTCGATCGACATTTCGCTCATACTTCTTGCGATAAACATGGAAGTATTTGATGACATATTGCTAAGTAACGTTTAGCCAATTCGGATTGTCGGTGCATTTCAACATTAAGGCCGTAAGACATTTCATAATACTAGAAGAACATTGCTCTAAATCAGATTAGAGTTGAGACTCATCTTTCCTTACCATAACATATTGACGATGAACTTCAATTTTTTCTTGCGCTAATTTTTCACAATCAAATTTCAAACTAGCAACAAAACAAATATTGATTTTCAATAAGCCAGTCGTTTCCTGCGATCGTATTTACCTTTGACACTGTTGTTGCAATAGACTGAATTCTTTCTTGATTCGATCGCAATATTCAATGATACTAGAATCTACCTGAGCACCCTAGATGAACACGTGAGACAATCGCCTTAATTCACATGAATGGAACAATGTACCTGCGGGCCACTACGTCCAGAGAACATATTTGCAGAAAGTTTTTCTTGTTCGCCGGTATTCGGTAAAGCGGAACCGGAGCCGCTAATAAATTTCTTTTTCTTTTTACTACTANCGTCGTCGACGGCGTATATAGCAAATGCGTGTTACTCTCTTCACCCGACTACAAGTGTCCAATTTACACACACGATCTGGATAGAGAAAAGATACTTAATTAATCGCGATCGATAAAAAAAGACAAAAGGCCAGTATTTCTACTACCATCCTTCAACATAGGAAGAGAGAAAGAAAAAAAGATCAAAAGTTGTCGTTCGTGATGCACATAAATATATACCCAGAAGACAACACGCATCAACCTAAAGCGCATGCGTATTCGAAATAATTGTGTACATATACACACACATATATAGATATATATATATGACGGGAATGAAGAGCGATTAGCATTTGAGAAAAAAAGAAGAAGCATTGACAAGAAATTGGAGATTGACACATGGTTATGATTACAGGACAAGCGCAATTTAATTACGTCAAGTATTATCCGATTAGATCTAGGTGCAGTATTTTCTATTGAGCAGAATGCAGACAGCAAAAAAGAAGAATTTTTAATCTTACCAATAATAATTAAATATGCAATGGAATTAATAAATTTTCAACGATCGCAAAAAAGAACTGATTATGTTAAAATATGTCAGCACTTAAACATAAAAGTAGTGCGTTGTGCCGTGTATGGCAGGCAAATATTATTTCTGAGGAAAATTTTTTACTCTTTTCTGTAATATTTATTGTTATTATTACTTCGTACATCAAAGATATATATATATATATATAAATGAAGTGAAGAGGAAGAATGGAAATAGAAACGAGCGAAGATTGATAATAATAGCAGTGGAAAGCGTACGAGCGTGCAATACAATGCTTGAATGAGAACTAACAAAAGACGAAGAAAACAAGTTTAATAATGCAGTAGTGCAAATCTTCGAATAGACTCTCAATCTCATTTCGAAGTCTATGATTGTTAAAAGCAAATGGAATCATGCATGAATGCAAGGAAGAAAATGCTCTATATGTATACAAGGATAAAATGTTAAACGGATTGTCTTCTGTTCAACTTCTTTTCTTTCGTTCAGATATTTTTGGTTCTTGTCGATGAGTACGAGCAATTGGAGTCGTTTAGAGATGTTTGAATCTATTCATGTCCTTCTTTTTTTCTTCTTCTCTTCTTAGTCTATTATTCTAGATGTCTACATAAATATATGAGTGTATGTGTTGGTTGCTTTATTTTGATTTAATCAAGTCAGTCAGCTCGTCTGCTAGCCGAACTCCTCAAGTGTCACTTTCATCGCATCGCTCGTTCGTTTCTACTTACATCCACACGCTCGCATGCATACTCATATGCACGTCAAAGCACACAAATCGTTGTTATTATTAAAAAAAAACTGAACACTCCCTTGTTGACCTAAGCATCTATTTTTTTCTTCCCATCGGCAGACATTTTAAAAGGTACGCATACAGGTCTGAGCGTATGCAATGGTGAAAAGAGGAAAGATAATAAGATTAAATGTAAATCGATATCTTCAATAGGAATTTTTGAGTTCAATCACAACTAGACATGTTTCTTTCATATTTGTACATGAATAAGTTTTGATTAGAATTTCGATCGGCTAATCAATAATGCGAAGACATAGAAATATTTGATGAGAAGAAAGGTTAGATCGATTAGGAAGATTGTAGATGGTATGAAATGTGTAAGTAAATAGTTTCTCGAGAAGTCTTGAGAGAAAAGAAAGAGAAGTCGTTGAAAAGCATTTACATACTCATGACAGTAGTAGTCAATTGGAGACGAAAAATGTATCTTAACACATATCAACGAAAGTAATTAGAATGAAATGGGGAGAATGATAACGAATCATTAACATATGCTAATTAACACTGGTTAGATCAAGTAATTATGACGATGAAAAAGCGAAGCTATTATTTATCTTTTCAACCGATCAATAAACTTGACTATTCGAAAAGAAAAGCAAATAAATCATCTTGAGAGAACGACACAAAAGAATCAGTATAAAGTATGTTTGTCAAACATGAAAATACATCGAAGAAGAATTTCATGTTTTCTCAAAAACAAAAAAAAAGAAACAACAGAAAAGAAAAAACATATACAACGTCCTCTTTTGACAAGAAAAGAAAGAATCAGAATAATATGAAAATGAGATAAGTTATCTGATTGGTCGGCTCGAATTATGATCCATTTGCATATTCAACACTCTTATGCACTTTGGTTTTTCAGAATTGCTTTACCGATTTTGAGAAATATATTTCTATTTTTAGTGAGAATATTCTGGTAAAAAAATATGACGTAGATGTTTAACTTTATTGGTCGCCGAAAAGATAAACAAATTCTACATTGAAACAACATGGCAAACATTAAAGAACACTACCACAACTTGACAAATATATGAAAACAACAAACTTATTTTTTTCGTTTCAGGTATGAAAATATTGCAACGAAATACTCAGAGTGAAACCAAATCGGATTGACAAACGGCTGTTCATTTGATTCTAATATCAATTCAAGAAATGAGCACGTTGTTTTAAGATTCTTTTTTTTTGAAGATATTCGATCTGTTAATCTGGCACGTCGAGTTACCATAGAACAGTTGCGTTTTCGCTATGAATAACACTTCTCAGTTAGAGAGGATAGATTAATAGAAAACAGGAGTATCTAAGAATTAGTGACAATCGGTTCCCGGTTAACCTTGAATTACTTTGTTTTCATCTAAGTTTGTATTTAAAATCCACAAAGAAATGTGTTTTTTTTCTCTTTCTTTTAGATATAAATATGAGTTTTCGAATGGAGGACATTCGACACAATGCTCTCATTATGCTCCTATATTAACAATAATTTCACGGCAAACAATCATGAAATTGGATCATAGAAGAATGCGTGATTGATTAGGCTGATATGTGGACGAATATATTTTTGTGAAAAATTTATTTCAATCGAACGAATGTTGGTTTTTAGGCACGGATCATCGTTCTCATGCAAAATAATTGCTGTTGGTCTGCAGTTCGACGAAAAACTTGTGGATTAATATGATGGATCCCCTCGTAGTCATGTAAAAACACCAATGATTCCGAACCTATTCGCCTCGATCATTTGTTGGTTTCTAATTGGTTCTTGTTTACTAATTCGTAGTCGTCATTGTTAACTGAAGTTCGATGACGAAACATGTTTTTTCTAGGACATCTCTGGCGATCAATGATCAGTTTGTAAAGAAAAGAATACTCTTGACTTTTTTCGATGTATTTGATGTAATTCTCAAAAAAATCGTTGATTTTTTCGATAACAAAGAATCATTTGGTACTTCTCCAGATGAATGACGTCGTCACCTAATCGTTCATCAGAATAAAGAGGAGATGAAAGAAAAGTTATTGGCTCTCCTATTCTAATCAATGTGAGAGAGAGAGAGTGAGGAATAGAGATGACGTTTATAGTTGAGTCAATGACCATAATCAGCTACCTGTCAAATAAACAGAACAATCTAAGCAAATAATAATAGAATCACGAATAGTATCATTAAGGATGTTTCATAAATAGCATATCAGTCTGGTGTTCGAATCATCGATCATGGCTTATTCTTCATTACCACCTATCGATGATTTAACTGTGCGTGAATCGACTGAACTAACATTTACCATCGGAAAACAATCGATTTTTTGCCGAAGAATTGGGTTTTTACATATAGAATCAACTGAACTCTATCCAAAACAGTATAATAACTGGTATTAGGCGCTTATAACAAAACAGCCAACAAATGGAAGTGGCGTTGTCGGACGTGTAAGTCTTCTCGCTCTCTACACGATGGTATTCTTTTTCGCAGAGTCGTCGTTCATTACAACAAGTACTGGATTTGATGATGAATTAGTCTCAAAGTTTGGATTCTCATAAATTTATTAAAAGAAATATTAATATATTAAGCGACACAAACCATCGTCGATTGGAAAAACTTCGCGCGACATTTATGTTTAGAATACTTTATTGGTCATTCCGTAGTTATAGGTAGTGTCAAACATGTGGTGCAAATCGACGAAAGTGTCTGGACAAAACGAAAATACAATCAAAGTTGTCAAATAAGTATTCAATGGATTTTCGGTTGTATTGATCGAGATATTCATGAGTATTTTGCTGCATCTGTAGACCAACGCAATACAGCAATATTAATGCCAATTATTGAACAATTTATTCTGCCCGACACGACTATTTACAGCGATCAATAGCGTGCTTACCATGCAATTATCAATCATAACAACGGTTCTGTCAGGTATACGCATAAAATAGTTAATCATTCTAAGAATCTCGTCGATGCAACAACACTAGTACACACGCAAAACGTCAAGAACATGTGGATGATGGCAAAAATTAGAAAGAAAAATCAGATGGGGCAATATCGCTTATTAATAAATACTCATCTGGCAGAATTTATGTGGCTTTGTCGGTTTGGTAAGCGTTCTTTCGAGAATCTCATCCGTATCGCCCAGGAAAAATATCCTTTGATTCATTAAGTATCAGGTCAGTAGATGGTAAGTCTTTTTTGTATTTATTTACTTAATATTTGTTTTTGGTTCTTCGTGCTTTACTTTTTTTCCTAAATAAAAGTTGTTCTTGAGATACTTATATTACTTCTTTCTCTGCTTACTATCATTGACTCAACTATGGGCCCCCATCTCTCTTTCTCTGTTTCTCATTGACCAGAATAATCGAGCCAATAACTTTTCTTTCCTTCCCTCTTCTCTTTATTCTTATAACCAATGCAACGATGGTGTTGTTCATCTGTCTAAAGAAGTACCCTTCTTTTGTATCGAAGAATACAAGAGGATAAAAGCGACAACATTCGGTGTAGTTGCTCTGCAAACGAACATTTACCGCCTGCAGTAAGACAGTGAAGAAGGAAAGAAAAAACGTCGATTTTTCTTTGTAGTTATTCGTCCGCTCAAGCGAGCGGCTACGATCAAGCCATCCCTTTTTCTTTCGTTCCTTCTCCTTTTTCTTTTCTCCATCTCCATCATTCATCGTCGACACGACAAGTAAGGCTCGTCATTATTTGTTCGTCGTTTTTTTTCATGTTGGCCAAGTTCTCGCCGACATTTACATAGTTCTGTTCTATCAAATAAAACATGCTCATATTTTCTAGATTTACACCTTAGTCGATTGGTCAGATATATCATGGTAATGAAAAAAACAAAGCGAGCTTCTTTTCGTATCCTTCAATCCAATTCATTCTTAGGCTCCTGTGGATCCATGTGTTTTACTCAATACAATTATCTATTTATTAGATAAAAACGGTGGTTTAAAAAACACCCGGATTGTTCGACAATTTATAACGTATGGAATCATTTTATTCGCTATTTCTTTCGAATAATTCGCTCATGTCAAAATCGTCTTAACTTTAGATTGATGAAATTAGCAGAGAAACTAGTCAATAAAGCAATCTATTTACAAATTTTAAGTCACACTCAGTCGGAAGAGATCTTCACCACGTATGTAGGAAACTTCATTAATTCATTCGATTGAATATGAAATCGTTTTTTTTCCGGTCGAAAGAATATATATAACGTATTCGTTTTTCTAGGTTTCTAAAAAGTGATGGACATCAAATTTTATTCAAGTGGCTTTCACATTTTAGCAGTGAAAATAATCATGCATTTCTTCTCGATACATTAAATATATTAGGCCATTTACCGTTCAACTTGAATACTATTTCACAGAATCATATCGACGAGCTTCAGCTCAAAATAGCCGAACTTGCGTCGGCTGAGTCAGGGAAAGCAAAGGGTCAGTGTTTTTGGCATACATATGAAGTGAAAAAGAAAAGAAAACTTCTGAATTCTCAACGTATATTGTTATTTCCAAAAAGGAAAGAGACTTTGGCATCACGATCCGTCTTTTTGTGTGTTCTACAACAAGTTAATATTTGACAAAACGTTCGGATGAGAACAGGTGTCATGCTTGAATCGATTTTTCTTTGCAAGTGTCTGTGAGACTCGGTAGTGTTCATTCGATGCGCGAATTTCATATGTACAAAGAATGATTCACTGTTAAATCGTCAAGCGAAGTCAAACATGTAGAATGATAAATCAAGGAGAAAATGAGATGTCGATATTAGAAGATCTTGACATAATTCATTAAAGAGATCGCACATCTTTAATGAATTATTTCTTAGCGCTCTTTTCTTTCAACAAAGTTTCTCTCTTGAATAATTCATTCATATTATTTCATTTCTTGTAGATATTCGTGAAAGTGCTCGTCATTTGTACGACATTTGGTCGTCAAAAGAACTCTTCAAACCCATAGATATCCGCTCTTCCCAACTTGATATCAATCAGCCTACGTGTTCCAGTATGTTCTATCCTTTTGCTTCTTTCTCTGATGATCATTCTCGTCTTGAAGATCTTCCTCTAACTCCTCAATCCATTGATAAACCTTCGCCAACATCTTCAAAATCCAATCAAAACGAACGAACATTACTCTCGTCGAACTTTAATACATCTCGTCTCCATGATAGGAAAATGGCAACAACCGTTACCTTGACACCCGTAGCTGCATCAGCCACAAACACTAGTAGTAGTGGCAGTAATAGCAATAGTGCAGATACTAATAAACGAAAAAGCGAAGAGAATATAGGACCACCAACACATCGGAAGCCGACACATCGTCGTATATCGGCGCCGGTGCAAAGCGATTCAGCGAAAATGAAAGCAAGCGTTGAACTTGATGATAGTGATGATCTAACTAAAACGAATGCATTGAATAAATCGACACCAACATATCGTATACCTAAAATAGGAAGGTAGGTAGACGACTTTCGGTTTTTTAGGTTTCAGAAAACCTGCAGCGTATCGATCGATAAAGTCCGTGTGTTGTTTTTCATTGTTATCGATTTTTATTTTTACCTTTTTTAAAAAATTTTTCTCTTTGTTTTTTTTCTCGACATTGATCTGTAATGGTTTGTTCTATTGATTTTTCTTCTCGTTAATGTGCAGATAAGTTTTGATTTGTAGAAAGCAATCACATGGTGATAGGGTCAAGGGTTTCCATTTTTTTCTCGAAAGCAAAGAAAAAAAAACTAGACGGTAGGCATTTTGTCAGATGAATCATTCTATTTTTTATGTATGTGTAATTTCAATGCTATGATGAAATGAAAATGTATTTGTATATATTCAAACACGATGATTTACAAAAACTGATGTGCTCACTGTTCCATTATGCAATGACGGGCTTTGTCGATCGATTTTCTGCGTGTCGTTTTTCCTCTCGTTGGCCAGCCTGTTCGTATTGACATTGATTCATTTGTTTTTTTTTTGTGTTTCAGGCCAAATGCCAGTATACCATCACCACCTTCGGAACCAATGGAAAGTCCACCGGTGGCGAATCAAGCAAGCAAGACTGTTGTTTCATTGAATAGACAAACGAGTGATGAACTCAACGCACAACAGGCCAAACGAAAGTTTTCCTTAAGTCAATATAAAGAACGAAAACGACTGAAATCGAATGAAATGCCTCAGAATTCTCTCGAAGATACCGACATGCGAATACAAAATACGGGACAGTCAAAGGTGAGAAAAATTAAATAATACTTTTCACAAGACAGCTGTTAAGGTGATCTTGAGTAATGTCGTCAAGGAGAAGAATACATTCGGCTCTATTCTGTCTTCTTACAGATCATGACGTCTCTTTTTCTGTGAATTTCGCTGTCGACAAATAGCAACATAGTCCATCACCTCTAGTGTAGCACATCGACATCACATATGTGCGTCGAGAACACATCAGTCGTTAGCTTTTCACGAGTCGGTGAGTCCTATTGTGAAATGAATACAATAATTCCGATTCTACATATTCATTCAGTAGCTGGGCGTAGCTTTCGAATGGCAAGCAAGATCGTTGATTTTCTGTACATTTCTAATCGTTTCATTCTTGTTTTCATTTTAGCCTTCGCCGCCAATGAACATTGAAGATGAACCAGTAAACACATCCGAAACTCAACTCCTCATGAGTCCAAAAGTTGATGAAGCACCTAAAGGTATTTTGACACCTAACGCTTTGTTTCTCACGTACATATCATCGCTTTCTTCACTTCTAGATACAGTTATAAAAAGTAATTTAAGTGAACCAGGTGTAAAGAAAGTAGTAAAAAAGAAAGTGATTTGGGCTGATGAAAAGAATCAGTCACTCGTTCATACATCATTTTTTGAAGTGGATGATTCTGAGCTATCCGATATGCACGTCTTTGCGCGAACATGTGCAGCTAATATTTCCATAGCACAACTTGAAAAAGTCATGGAACGTGATTTGCGTAAACGACGCGGTGTACAAGATATGAATTCGAACGATAACGATGATAGACAATATTCAACGCCGTTACCACCATTAATAAAAATTTCAATACCCGATTCGATTCAAACTCCTCAAATCGTTTCTCAGGAGCGATTTGTTCAGGAAGAACGTGAAAAAACTGTTTTACAGGCACTTTTTATCCGTTCATTTCTACCTGATACTCCAGGTGAACCAGATGGAGATCCGGTTGGTACTAGCAATACGGAACGAAGTGAACCCAAAGTGATACCACTTGAAGATGTAAGAATAAAAGAAAAAAATAGAAATAAAATCTCGCGAATGCCTTCTCGAACGCTCTGGATTTTGTTTGTTTTTTTCACAATAATAAATTCTTCTAAATTTATCTATAAATTTAAATGTATATATATATGTATATGTCTATAGGATACATCATCATCTGTATCGAGCAAAGTAACATCAGTAAATAACAATAATACGACAACAGCAACGCCAAGTATACCTTTAGTTTCAACGAATCCTACAGCTACAACCAGTACTGCTACTCCGAGTCTTTCGACATTTTCCTTTGGAAATGTTTCGCCTGAAGTGGCTCAAATTCTTGCACAAGCACAAGGAAATTTAACATCGGCAACGACAAATAATTTTCCAACAACGAACACGTCAATTAACTCGCCCGCAACACCAATAATAACGACACCAATAGTAGCAACGGCAGCTGCAGTTACCCTACCGAATACGACCGTGTCAGCAACACCGACATTGGCTGCACCACCTAATTTTCTGTCAGCATTTATTAATGCAACAAGAACGATTGGAAATGAATCAGCGAACGGTAAAAACGTGAAAACTTCTGAGCAATTTTTAATATCAGCTTCTTTAGTTCCGCCACCGAATCCAATAGCTAATCTTTTACCAAATATTCCGCTAAATTTCAATTTACCACCACCGCCAAGTTGTTCACTTACACAACTAATTGCAAATGCTCTTACGTTGGGCATACCACCACCCCCAACGGGCAGTAAGTCACAAATTCACATTATGTTATACTAGTTTCTATTCTCTCTAGATCCTACGCTATTCCAAACACCTTCGCCAGCGGCGTTCAATGCGCCAACACCGCAACCTACTCTGCCGAATCCAATAATTAACTCAGTTCCACCACCAGCAGTGAGTTCCAAAACACCAACGGTACGTTTTGTATCTGCTATGGGCAATCAACAGCTACGAGCGAACCATCCTAACAATAACAATAATAATCATCACGACCGCTCAATGCCATCTTCTCGTGAGAACAGTAGAGATCCTCATTTTCGACGCGGTCCACCACCAAACAATCGTCGAGACTACTATCAAAACCGCAACAACAACAACAACAACAACAATAATAACCATAATAATAACAATAATAACCATAATAATAACAATAACAACAATCGAAATATCTTCTCCTAGGAGAGAAACGAGAATATCAATTTCAAAAGATGGATTAGCACCGTATTCAAATCAAATCAAAGCATTATATGCTGGTGGTCAATCCTGTGATATATGATTTCAAGACTCATATTCTAACTGCACATATATTGTGTGATAAGTCTTACTTGTTTTCTTCCTCTTTTTCTGCTTCTTCCTCCTGCTTTCCTTGTCCCTCTTTCGTGTGTAGACTAGCCGGATAAGGTATGTCTATTTATGAAATATATGTTTGTTTGATTTTATTCATTCCTTATTTCATTATCTTTTTCTTCTTGTTGATTCTACGGTTTCTTTTTGTGCTCATCTTTTCTCACTAAGAAAACAACTCTATTTCTCGCTTGCTCTCTCTCTCTCTCTCTATACATATACATATACATATTATCCGTCATTGTCATTCTTGATCTCTGATCATTTCAAATTGTTCGAAGAAGGAAGAAGTCAGTATTTTGTTTGTTTGTTTTTTTTTGTACATTTTGCAAGAAAAAGAAGAAAATATATATAAAAGATTGACATGCTGGAACACCTCGCTTAAGGTTTTCTTCTTGATTAATTGTTTGTTTTTACTTCTAGATTTACCAAGTAGTAATAGTCAAGATATGTCACGGTAAATGAAACGAAGAGATTATTTCGACTGAATAAGACTTGTTTTCTTCTAAATAGATACGTTAAACAATTAGCATGCCGATTTCATCCGGAAGCAGTTTTAGTTGAAGATTATCGTGCTGGTGATATGGTTTGTCCTGAATGTGGCTTGGTCGTTGGAGATCGAATGGTTGACGTCGGATCCGAATGGCGAACATTTTCGAATGACAAAGAAACAAAAGATATGAGCCGTGTCGGTGCTGCAGAGAATCCTTTATTTGGTGGTGACAATCTCGAAACGGTCATGTCACTAGGTACAGGTGCTGGTGCACTCGATGAATTCGGTAAACAAAAGTATTCCAATGGACCGCGACAAATGTCTTCGGCCGATAAAGCTTTGCGAAGTGGCTACGATGCTATTCGACAAATGGCTGGGCGTATTAGTTTGTCGGGTCGGATCGTTAATCGAGCTTTCTCACTCTTTAAACAATGCTATGAGAATAAATGCGTGCGAGGTCGATCACAAGATGCCATTGTGGCAACATGTATTTACATCGCTTGTCGACAAGAAGGTGCACAACGAACAATTAAAGGTATACGAGAACAAAAAAGCACTACAGTCGAGCTCAGTTCGTTTTCACGTTTCTTTTACAGAAATTTGTGCCATTTCCACAACTGCATCAAAGAAAGATATTGGCCGATGTTTCAAACAAATTGTTCAAAACTTACCCAATTCGAATCGTCCAGAATCGATCGATATCAAAAACTTGGTACCTCGATTCTGCAATACTCTCGAACTCCGCCAAGCAAATCTTATACCCAAAACTGCCGTACATATTGCTGAACGTGCCAAAGAGCTATGCGATATTCAAAGTCGTGCACCCGACTCGATTGCTGGAGCATCTATATACATGGCATGTGCTGCTGCTGGTGAACGCAAGCAAATGAAAGATATTCAAGCTGCTGCTGGTGTTATGGAGAGTACCATTCGACAAATCTACAAGATTATGTTACCAAAGGCATCAGAACTATTTCCATCCGATTTTGTCTTCAAATGTCCACCAGAAAACTTACCTCAATCATAAACAGACTATGAACGCTCATTTCTTGTTGTGCAATGTATATCTATGAATATTGCGTGATTTAAATTATAAAGGAAAAAGCGAAACAACTGAGTAATATATTGCCTCTCCCCTTCTCTCTCGCTCTTTTGTTTACTGATGTCTTGTTTATTCTATACATTTGAAAGGAAAATAAAGAACTCAATAAAAATCTAATTATGTTTGTTTCTTTCTTCGCTTTAGATGGCATCTTCAACCGTTAAAAAGGACGACGCAGACCACGATCAGTGGCAAGCAGCGCAAACAGGACATGATCAATTCGAATGGCATCAGTCGAGTGATGATGAAGAAAATGATGATGCGAATAATCATGAATTTTTCGATGCTCACGATACAGATTTTCATCAGAACCCGTCGTCTTCAACTGAACCCAATACTGATGCAGATCTTCTGCACAATCGTCTAAATGCTCAATTGTCTACAGATGAAACGACGAAGAAAACAAAGCCAGGTAATCAATTGTGCATCAAACATTTTCGATAAAACATACTTCGTTTTCTTACTCCTCAGAGGATCCATATTTCATCGACGAGGAATTGCTTATCGAACGCGAAGCTCTTCTTTCCGAAGAAGACAAAGAAGTAGGCGATTGACTTTTCTGTCAAATGCTCATATTGATGTTTTATTCTGATAGAAACGTCACAAAGAATCCCAGGCGTCAAAAGACGAAGGCAATGATTCATTCGGTCGCGGCGAATATCAACAAGCATTGGAGAAATACAGCAATGCCATTTCCTTATGTCCCATGAAACACACACGTGACCGAGCGGTTATCTATGCAAACCGTGCTGCTTGTCTAATGAAAATGGTACGTAGAAGCCGCGATTTGTTGCCTGAAAAGCGGTCGTGGTATTATTTAGGAAAAATACGAAGCTGCTGTTCAATCATGTACAAAATCGATCGAACTGGATCCAACTTACACCAAACCGTACATCCGCCGTGCTGATTCATACAAACAGATTGATAAATTGGAAGAAGCACTACAAGACTATCAAAAGATCCTTGAACTCGATCCAAATAACGCCCAAGCCCGACGAGAAGTTTATGTTAGTTTATTTTGTTGTTCGTTCAATGCACGATGATCTCTTTCGTCTAGGTTTTACCGGATCAAATTAAGGAACGAAATGAAAAATTGAAGGAAGAAATGTTAGGTAAGCCTTCTTACGGGTTATATTCGAGCTACAAATGAAAATCATTGTACTTTGCTCTTTTCATTCAGGTAAACTGAAAGACTTGGGAAATATGATTTTGAAACCATTTGGTCTATCGACAAATAACTTCCAACTTCAACAAGACCCGTCGACTGGTTCTTACAGCGTTAATTTTCAAAGATAATTGTGATAAACTCTGTTTGCGTTTATTTTTCTTTCACTATTTTATATCCAATAAACATGATGTCAGAGAACAGCTAATAATATATTCACCGTCTTCTACCGTTGATGATTAACTGAACAAGACTGCATTTTCGTTTTGTTGAATAGCGACACACAATGTACGATAAACGCGTATTGGTTAAAAAAATTCTTCAATTCTCTTTGAGAAAAAAAAAGAAATTGAACGAAGCGAAATAGTTGTAGAACAATCAACGCTTTTCACGTTTTCGTGCATTGTTTCTGCTGCTAGGCAATACGATGGATATCGATATCGTTAATACGGTCTTACGATTATGTTTCGAACAACAAACATGTTTGTTTGAGGTATCTTTTTTGTATACCTATTGCGCAGAAAGAGAGTTATGTAAAAATCCGAAACATATACTTGCTAGTATTAGAAATTATATGGAAATATTTAAAATTAGTCAAGATCAAGATCGAATCGAACTATTTATGCCTGTAAGTTTCGAGATATGCCGATCAAATTTGTTTAATGCAGTTTATTTTCAGTTTGAGATCTGCCGAAATCTTCTAGTAGATGGTTACTGTCTAAATAAAGACCAATCGTGTTCTAATATTCATATGTGTTATGATTATTTCTATGGAAGTTCATGTCAGCAAATGAATAACTGTCCATATCCCCATTTCATCACTAGAAAACTTCATGCAGATATACTTGGACCATTAATGAGTCTGGATTTAGACGCTTTAACCAAAGCTTTTCGAGTTTATTGTCAATCGAAAGTAAGGCAAACATTTTTCTTACGATTGTATCAAATAAAAATCAATCTATCCTAGAAACAGTGGATTAATCATTCGATGTCAAAAGGACAGCAGCAGGTTACATTGAATTCATCGATGAATAACAATATAACGCCACCACCTTTAATGGATACCTGGCGAACGATAACAGTACCACAAATCAATGGAAATGTATCATGGAAAGTAAACGGTCGATTACACGTGACTTCTAGAACTTATCAAAAACAGCAAATAGCACCGGGAAATTGTAAGTTCGTATGTAGTTTCAATATTCGTCTAATTGCAGTTGTTTGAATAGACGACGGACTTCAAATATGTTGGAAACCAAAGAAAGACATACAAACTCATTTTATCGAAGTTATTTTTAGCAATGAGAATAAATCAGACGGAGGTCCAATCTTAACGCATCAGATTCATCAACATTTAGGTGTCGCACAGGTATTCTATCGGAATTCAGACGGTCAGTGGATGCTGCTTGAAAAGCAAACGATCTAGGCGGTTTGTTTTAGTTGCTGATCGTGTTGTTCGTCATGGGCCTGTGACATTTCAATCGTTTACGTTCAATTCTCGACTTCTGCATCAAATCAGCGATGTACGACATATTTGTTTTGCTAATATATCTCCTGAGTCCGAGCGTATTGGGTCGTATATCAATGTTGTTTCAAGGCCGTATAAAATAAATCAATTTACATACTATCAAAATGATCCACAGATGATTGTTGTTGAATACAATGAAGATATTGGTAGGAGAAAGCCACTCTGTCTGAAAAGACAATTTGAATTTGCTTGAAGATTTTCGCAAAATCTATTCCAATGTCCGAAACTATCCTGAATGTGATGGCTCAATGATCAATTGTATTCAATTATACCTTCCCGAAACATTGCTTATCGAATATGACGATCACGATTATTCCGAAGATGATTTTAGACGATTGTTTGATGATCAAGCTGTTTTTCACATCAAAACATATCCACATTGTGCTTTTGTACATTTCTATTCCCACGCTGGTAGGTGTTTACTCGATGCTCTTTCAAATACGATCGGCAACGTTCAAATATTTGCTTTTTGCGTTAGATCTTGTACAATCGTTGGAGAACACTTCTAATAGTTTCATTCGAATGACACCGATCTATACGAATATATTTTCATTGAATCATTTGCATAACTATTTACAACGCAAAGAAATGGAACAGCAAACTAAATCGACACTGATCACACCCGACGAGACGAATGAAATCATTGCCGAAGAACCACCGAGGGATGAGTCACCAAGCGAAACTCGACCATCAGCGCCTATTCTAACACCACTACTTGCTGTTGATGAACAAACAGGTTAGTTCGATTGATTTTTCGAACGCGATGGGACACCGTCGGTCTATCAATCGTAGGAACTTCTTCGGAACAAAAAGCATCGAATCAACAAGTGCAACAAGCAACTATTGCTACAAACGTTTTATCTGACAGTGACGATGATTTTCATGATTTACCATCAGAGTTTGATGACGAAGATCTATTACTTGATGAGTTAGCCGAAAACAATGGCGAAATGGAATTTGTTCGTACTGCTGCGAAAAGTCTTATGTCGTCATTAGCCGAAATGGAAGCTGCGAATGCAGAAACAACCGCAGAAGACGCACCGCACTCACTCTCATACGCGGATGATTTTCTAATCACAATAAAAAATCGTCGTTTTGCATTAGCATTTCTCGATTACACCCTATTTCGTATCGAAAAAAATATTAATACTGATAAATTTCGCATGTTATTAACATTGAGAAAGCGATCACGTCATAAGAAACGATCTAATCTTAATCAGCAACACGCACAAGCATCATCCGAGACCAAATCAAAGAAAAAACGAAACAAACGCAATAAGAAGAAACTAGATAGCGATCCGAATCCAACCGAAGGTATCACTTCTCACTATTGTTGATTATTCTCCACAAAGATTACATCTATTTCTTCTGTGTATATTTAGATGACGACAATGATTCAACAATCTGATAGAACAATATGCTTGTACGATGTTTTCATCTAGATTTATCTTATTTTTTGTAATTACGAATTGTATTCTATATGTGTGTGAACAGAGTCATATTACTAAATAACAATTTAATTGAATTTTGAAGAACATTCTCAAACAACTGAACTTGTCTTTCGTCCGCAAACACACCAAATAAGTAAACCTAGAAAAAAGTCACTTACTAGACTCGTAATAAATCATCATTTTCATACATACCACCAATAGGAAAGAAAATAATCAATAAAATCCAAAGTAACTTTCCGAGAACAGTGCGGTTTGTTTGAAGAACATCGAATATCGCAATCACATCCAAAACCAACACGATCTATTTAGAATTGCAAACGATAGACCATCTTTGCTTTCCCATTTGTGTGTACTCACGAGTCCGCCGATACCACCTCCGATGTAGCCACCTACATACGAACCAGCACTGGCTAGCTTACATAAACACGTGAGAAGCAACGCAATCGAAATCGACAGCATGATCTAATTCGAAAAATATGAAAATATTCGATGTAATTTTTGACTTTCCGAAAAAATCGAGCTATTACTCATTTTTTCTAACTTATCGATAAGAATCCTTCATCATTCCATACCGATTGGGTGTACAACAAAAAAATATTATTATGTTTTCGTCATAAACAATTCTCCTTGCCATCAAGTGAAACGACACATGTGTTCCACTTTACATACTTAATTCGATCAAGTCTTAACTAGTTTTCTCTCTCTCATATCTGTACTCGATTCCTTTTTGTTATCTTGAGTCAATAAAAATTTCTTTTTCTTTAATATTTCGAACTTTTTCTCACGAGAATTTTACAATTCATCAATAATACAGGCGAAACAATGTAATCTTCCATAATACGAAACCAATTACCGTTGTTGTGACTCTAATGAGAAAAATATGACATGCCCAGGTGATGACACTTCATATGTACAGAACACATGTAACTTCCGTCCAAGCGAGGAAAAAGAAGCATCTTATTGTATGACAATATTTTCGTAATGTTACGTTCCTTTTTATTGATTCATATTCACAGAACGAATAGAAGTTGTCACTCGTATCGAAAACGTATGATTGGTGTACATCAAACGTGATAAATAAAAAAACATTCCTATAATATGTCATGGTTCATTAGACATTAACGATGAAGAAAAAAAAAACTGTGTTAGTATATAAGAGAACATCTTGTCAGTATATCTTACGGCATAAATTGCGAGTAGCGCAAAGTTAACGCTGTTGATCTTCAATCGAATTTTGGTCCGACATTGATGGACGCTGATGGTTTTGGTATGGATCAGAGGAAGAGAGGCGGGCATTTTGGTGAACCCGAGTATCGCGATGGGATGAGTGCGTCAACGAAGAGACATTTCGATCATGTGAAACGAAAGATGCTCGCCTTTGTCGATCGACAACATCGAAGAAAGAAATCCGATCGGGCCATGCAAATGCCAGCTTCGGCTCCTTTTCATCATAAGCCACCTCCTATTTTTGCTGATCAAAATCGACCGCCTAAACCAACTATTCATCATCCTACTCCACTATTATTACATAAACCACAAGGCATATTTCCTGGCCAACATGGACCACAAAAGAATCTTGTACATCGTGGATTCGCGACACCTCAAATTCCACATCGATTTCAAAAAGGAGGAATAAATATGGACGGTAAAATGCATCCAAACGTAGCATTCTTCTAAGAAAAAAAGTCTTCGCATATCTGCATTTATAATGGTTACTGTCAAGTTTTTTATACGTGTTAAATATATATATATATATATATTCAGAATTGTAGATTGGTCCGAATGTAATTATTGTAGAAGAAAACAAGATAGGGGGAAATTAAATTAAAATCTTGATGACAAAGCATCGAAGTAGTGGTTTGTTTTCAGAATTTTAAATTAAACATGTCAAAAGTTAGCTTTTTTGTATAGAAAACAAAATAAATGTGAAATTTTTTGGGTGAGAGATTAATTGTACCGTACTTCCTTCGTTATTTATGATATACACCGTCGATCATGTGTTCTTTTATCATGACTAGGTAGGAAAGTAGACACGCTTATTCTTTAGATGTGTATATGTCTTCAATATGAGTAAAGAAAAAAAAAGAAAACGAAACACACACGATAGGCGAAATGTGACTTCCTTTAAATGATTAGAAAATATCGTAATGTTAAAACCGAGTGGACATAAGTTTTGACTAAATCAACCTTGAGTAGGTGTTGTTACGCTTCATTTTCGCTGTGACATACATGTTTAATTTCATGTACATTAATCGAATCAATTTATGCTCGAAACCATATCTTAGATCGATAGTTTGTTTACAAAAACAGACAATTATCATGTTTCTGTTCAGCAGATATTGTTGTTTTTGAAGAGACAATTTCTTGCATGAAAAGAATAACAATATGGAAACAATATCGTTAATATCGTCCTTCGATTGGTACGACTTCAAAATTGACACGCTGATTTCGTCGAAGTAGACCATATAATCGATGTACAATAAAAGGTACAACAATTTTCAAAAGAACAGTCAATCCTCCGTAAAGACCGAGGATCGTTGTAACGACATACAATACGTTGTATCGATCAATCAGCTTATAAGAGCATGACGTAGGTTGACATTGATGAAAATAGTCCTCGTACGATACATTCACCGACCAGGATTCGATGAACATCTCTTTAACTAACGCACTGATGAGTAGAGTTTGATTAAATCGCGTACTACTACGATTCAATGCTCGAGGTATGATCGATGCATTGACATATGAAGATATCATATCAATACATGATTGATTGTAGAAACATTCCAATGTAGATCGTAAGAGAGATTGTAAAGGAAGACAACCAACAACATAACCTGGTACATACGGTATTGACGATTGAGTACAGGTAGCGGAGGTTGCACAATTGCAATCATCGTATACACGAGCTTTCATGTATATCGTCGCATCTTTGGTCAGGTTCGGTAGAAACATACCCCAATTCATTGAATAAGCTGACACGAGACCATTACCTTGTGCCATTCCTAGCAACATGTTTAAGGTGTGCAAGAAATTACTTGCTAGGCTTGATTCGAACGTTGTCAGTGCAGCTGAGACTTGCTGATCGAACAGATCGTAATCCGGCATATATGCAGATACAACTTGTTTCGCGAGAAAAAGATCACGACCGTCAAGAACGGCTTGTTCAATTAAATTACACATTATTTGCAGAGTTTGAAAGAAGGAGAAAGCGGTTCCCGAAAATCGATATGAATTCATTTCAGATAGATTTTGCTGCTGATAATTGACGAATAGTTCATCTAACCAATTTTTTCTCATGAAATCGCTGGCGCATACCTGATGAAAACTCGGCTCGAGTTGGCAAAATGCTTCATTTTGGAACGAAAGCTTGGTACACGGACATTCGACTGTTGTTGATCCATATAGTATCTGTAATTGTCGGAATTTTCCAAAAGATGAGATACTTACAGTTTTGTCATTCTGTTGGTATGTTAACAATGTATACAGGACAAGAATAAATACTGTCAACGAAAGAAATAAGAAATAGAAACGAGTAGATTGTCGTTGAAGATGAACTTCCGTTTCATTAGCAACTCTTCGATGTTTCTTTTCGAATATATTGAATGTGATTAAAAATAAATAAATTCGTTGACGAGTACTCATCGGATTCAGGAAATCATTCGCATCTGAACAAACGTTTTATTCACAAAAATGAAGAATTACTCATCGAGATAAACTTACTTGCTTGTTCAGGACGAAACTTTCGAAACAAAGTAACTAAACATACGATAATCGAGGGAGCAATAATTCGGAAAGCAATAGATAATCCTCCAACAAGTCCTGTAACTGTCGTGACCACTTGCAAGGTACTTCTTTGTGCAACTATTGTATACGAACACGATACTGGCTGACATTTACTAAAATAAGCTGGATAGTTAAGAATAGATGACCAGTTTTCAATAAATAACTGTTCAAGAAGAACATTAATCGTGGTATTTACTGAAAAACGGCTCGGTTGCGACGTATTTAATCGTTCCATGTTAATAAATAACGTTTCATTGGTGAGATTCGCCATGGATTCAAGACATGAGCTGGTATCAGCGAAGCATTCTAACGTGGACGGAAGTAAAGATTCAACTGGAAAACATCGAGAATAAAATCCCGGAACAGTAAAAATCACTTGTCTCGCTCCGCTTGGTCCAGTGTAGAGTGCAGCTTGTCTTCCACATCCAATATCATTTGCACAGGAACAAGTTACAGTTGTTCCATTAGCGAATGTAGTAGTACTTCCATAGTGTGTCAACAGCGCATCAGGTTTGGTATATTCTTCAACTGTGGAATAGTCGACGGCAAAATTCGCGTACGAACCAGACAGAAATTGATTCATATAAGTAAAATTACGGATTAATAGTAATGCACGTAGTAAACTACTGGGTAATATGACTTTGAATTGTTCAATATCGAGATTTAATTGTCTTTCAAATAGCTCTTGTTGGATTAGATTTGCCGTCACTAACTGAGTTTGTCCAAAGACAAACAATTCATTGAAAACCGTTTCATTGGTCAGATCGCACATAGATTTAAGTAATTGAAAAGTCGGGCTGGCAAAACGAAAATCTGCGAAATAGAGATTTGCGACTAATTTCGAAGCAATTTCATTGAGACCTTCGATCCATTTCGATGTCACGAATTCACTTGAACATATTTGATGATAGCTTGGTTCAAGTTCAATCAAATCTTCGTATGAAACCGATAATTTCATGCAAGGGCATTGTAACGAAGAAGCATATGGTTGTAATTTTTTGATAGAATTTAATGTCGGATTCTTAATTTGAATAATTTTCATTTCGATTCTCAGCCATGTATAGAAAGTAAGAAAGAGTACAGTCAGAGCTAAAAGAAGAATATAGAGCCGAGTTGACCACCGTTGTTGGTGTTGATCGTTAACAGTATTCTTCTGTGAAGATTGGAAAATATTCAAATCGACAACTGACTCCCATATTTGTTTCATCAATCGACCGACTTTGAATGATGTATCTAAAAACAAGCATAATCAACTCAGTGATTTTATTTGAGTACCTTGCCTTTTACTTACTATCGATCGTTGTTGGATGTTCGATACGCGGAGCAATTGTTTTTGTTCGGAAATATTTCATAATATAAGTTACTACATAAGGTATAAGGAACTGAAGTACTATAGAGAGGCCTCCGTACAGTCCGAGAAGCGAAGTAAAGATGAATAAACTAGATGCTCGTTCGTTGTTTTCATATACACAAGAATTCGGCTGGCATTGACGAAAGTACGACGTGTAATTTACTTCGGTTGTCCAATTCTCAACGAATAGATCTTCGACAAATGTTTCAATGGCCATCGTCGGATCAAAATGACTGCTCGTCATCAAACTCATTACAATAAATGGATTGTCTACCAGGGAATTATTCACATAGGATAGAATATGATTCAACGCCGTTTGATTGTATAGATATGTAGGAATTGACAAGAGAAGTGTTTCGACCGGCCAACATCCAGTGTACCAATCTGATAAATATTCTTGAGGAGGTAACATCTGTTCGTCAAATATACCACGACTGGTATCAAATGTCGTAATGTTGTAGAAACCAGCAGGCATATGACAGGTTGGATAATCAGTGCAACCGCATGATGAACCGTTTGGTTCTATAAATTCGTTTGTATTTAATCCTGGTCTACGAGAAAACCATCAACTGTGAGAACTCACTGGAATTTGACTTACGATGATCGAATCGTTCCTGGAGAATCAGAGCGAACAATGATCGTAAATGCTGTCGGAATAGCTGGAATCAATTGATTTCCAAATATAAATGACCGAACAAATGTCAGTTCTCGCCAAAAATTTGACGTTGTTATGCGTTGAAATGCTTCGATATCTGCTCTGATTTCTGCTTCAAATAAATCTTTGCTCAGTAATTGACCTGATATCAATTGACTGCTGTACAATGTTTGAAGACCATTATTCACAGCAGTCATTGATAACTGACACAGCTCTCGAAGAACTTGAAACTGATGAGGTGCTGTCGCACGAAAATCGGCAGCATAACGTGATGTTGTTTGGTTATTATCAAAAAGAAACCGAATCCACTCGTCAGAAACGAATCCACTCGAACAAATTTGATTGTATGTTGGTGCAAGTTGCAAGAAGTTTTTGTATAACGTCGAAATTTGTGTGCACGGGCACTTAATATTATGGTGCCGATCGTACAGATTTAGATATGCCGTGACAGAAGGCTTACTCACATCTGTTTGCATCAGAGTCGTATTTATTGTTGTATAAACAATGAGAATGATCATAGCTAAGCCAAGAATGACAACATACAATCGTGTTGCCCAACGTTGCATAGAAACGACCGATTGATCGTTAGAATGCGTATCGAATATGTTATAAGCGATTAGTTTTTGCATAATTTATCACACAGAATCTATTGCGTACATAAATAAGACGTTTGTTTTATAGACGTTATAATATATATTCCGCGACTTCGTTGCTATTAGCAGTTTTCCGTTCTAATTAATCTTAGGATTCTTGATCGAAGGGTAGACAATTTGTCCTCGGTTCGAACATTCACAGAAGTAGATTAAACTAAAACTGTATTTGGATTCTTAGATTACAGTTGAAATCATTTCTAGGATATTGTATATTCATGTTTCTAAGCACTCTTATGATTAAAAACAACTATCGAGAAGAAACTTTACATTTTCATCATTGCAAAACAACTCGTCTAATCCTTCACAAAATAGTAATCAGCGTACTTCTGAGTTTTCTTCTTAAACATTATGTCTGAAGTGTCTGTTCTTTACATATAAACCAATTGTTTTGTTATCAAATGCAAACACAATGCATGAAGTTTTTTTATCTGACCTTGAACATACAGATATCATTCTTCTTATGTATAGAGCACTGTAAAATTGTCGATTGATCAATGGAAAAGATTTCTTTTTACGAAAAATAACAGATTAATATTATTATCATTCGGATACGAGAACAGAACAACAATAAGACGCATACAGCGCAAAAAGAAGCGTTTAACATAAAGTTTCTGTATACGGCTTTCTCGGTAGGATTCGTGGTATATCTTTGTTATAAATATCAAAATAATTTGGATTACTCCACTGTGGAGTCGGACACAAATAATGGGCGACTTCGAGATCGCATGGATCATTGGATGGAGGAATTGGTTCGGCGCGATGATAAAAAGATTGTTCTCGAAAAACTTTGATTGGTTTGAAAGCACTGTCTGTCGTACTTATAAAATCACTTAACGGTGCGTACAGAGATGGATGATAATCATAATTTTTATTAATGTACTTATATGGATAATAGTGTTGAGAATAAATTGATTTATTTAAATGAAACGTTGGACGACAACAGCCGGCTGTTAATGTTTCTAAATTCGATATCATCGTTGGACGATAATAAGAACAATCGACAGAATTCTTTGGAAATTTCGAGCATTCTGTTAATCGATGGGATGGCCGTTGAGAATAGCAGTCATAGATACCGTTGTAGTCTCTCGGAGGGCCCTTTTTTAGAGTATTATCATGCAATGGACGGACATAGACAGAACGTACCTATGTGGAAAAGAAATAGACAAATTAAGAGAGATAGATTTGAGCAGAAAACGAACCGGTTCAATGAATGAACTTTGCTTGTACTTCGAAAGCATAGACGGTCGACGAATACTGTTCGTTAGATACGGAACAGGAGTTGTTGATGTTGCTTTTGTCGAAGTTTTAATCGTACGTGAATGATGCTTTTCGGAGATGAATTTCGACTTCGCTCGTTCGTACTGCTTCCGAAGGAAATTCGATATTTGTGATAAACTTGTCATTTTGTTCGTTTGAATCTTCGTTCTCACAGGAATCGACGCATAATATTCCACACGTTCATGTCCGTTACGATGAGAAGATCCAGGTGAATCATGCGTTGATGATAAATCACTATGATAACCACTCGAACTAATTGTCTGTGGAGATAGACGTGTATCAGCAACTCGAAGAACAATATTCGAGTGCATCGTAATTAATCGTAAGGAAGCAAATGTCGTGAAACGTCAATCAAAACTTATCGAAACTAAATAGAAAATATACATATATAGTCAGATGTAATCAAAGTCGAATCTCATATCAATCTTGTTCTTCTTCTGTCTACTTATCAGTTTCTTGTCTCTCCTACACACATACAGAGAATGTATGCGGACTACATTGTGACGAGAATTCTTCGTTGAGAACAAGATTACTTGTTGTCACATACATTCATCTCTATGTCGCAACGTACTTGACCAAAGAAAGAGACTAAATGGAACTGAAATTACGAAGAACAATCAAAATGATAAGTGGTCGCTATCTCTCTCTCTCTCTTTTTCTATGTATGTGATTCGGAAGAATACTTTCTAATTTCTGTGCGATGAGACAAATAGAAGAAAAAGAAGAAAAGGACCGATTATTATTAATGTAACATACAAGTGTGTTGAATGATGATCAGAAGTAGTTATGGCAGGCGCTCATCGAACATTCTCCTGATGATGTAATAAACTCGTTCACATATATATTGAAAAGAGAAGAAAGTGTCTTTGACTAAATAATGCGTATGTAAGATTTTTTTCACGCATGAATGTTGAAATGTCTAGAGCATCACTTGAAATCAACCTATCAATTTAATATAAAATGCAACAAAAAGAAAGCACTCCTTTGATCACAGACATCTGCATACATTTGTCATGAATCACCTAAGTGAACATGTAAAGCTTCAATAGGATTTTCCAATCAGGTCAGCGGTAATCTAAAGGGCAAGTATGTGCGAAAGGAGAAAAGAGATGTTCAAATGACGAATAACTTAATTTAGTTTCTCCTTCGCTATTCTAGTTGACCACGATTAGTAGGAACAGAATATGTACTTGTTAGAAAAAGAACAATTACCTTTTCGATAGTGTTCGATGAGCAAAAAATGGTAATTTGATTAATCTCGATTGTCTGATTATGTCATTCGTATTGCACTTGCAATATTAATTCTCTTTTCTCGAAAGCTTCCGCTCAAAGTAATATTTGATTTGATGAGAAAGAAGATCTCTTATTGAAAAATCGTACAATTATTTCTTCAGGGAATAACACATGGATATGAATGTCGAAATGATGATGAACTTTCGACAAGATCACAATTGATTTCTACTTACATGATTGATAATATAATTATGATCTATCTAAATCGAATGTTATACAACTGACGGGTAACGTATACGACGCTAGTTCCTTAGTTTAGTGACTTCGAGTGTGTGAAGATATAATTTGAATAGCAAAGCAAAAGGTGCCTTCTTCTCTTTTCTGAGTAACAATCCATATGATTATTGTGAAGAGAGGATATTATGGCGAAGACCAGATATACATCTTATATCATCTATCATCCTATACATTTACTTAACTGAACAAACGCTCTACTTCTCTTTTATCTATCATTGGATGAAAAAAGCTGATAGGCAAGATTGTCACAACTTGTCAAACTATCAAGGATGTTGTTTTGATCGCTGAACGGTTGAATAAAAAGAACTTCTAATCCTCGTGATTTTATCCAAAATGGGTAATTCATGCAAAAACAACTTACGCATAAGCTTATCTAGTCATTTCAAATTCTAGTCTCCAGATAGACAAGAAGATTACGAGAAATATAAACTACATAGGTTTCTTAAACAATAATTCAAACACATTTAGCAAAACATGCATCTTGAATATGGTACGCATGTATGCACATGGGTAGATAAGTGTATTGATCGTATCGTTGCACACAAAAGAAAGGAATGAATACAAGACATCGCACGTAATACGAGAAAAGAATAGCCGCAATGAATTAACGTATGTAGTTAATATGACAATGAACTGAACATAAGTTATGTAGAAGGAAAGACAGAAAGAAAGAGCGAGTGAATTAAGAAATACCTTGATTTGTGTGAATATGCATGTCAATGAATAATGTATGCATGACGAATCACACGTACGATCAACAACGATATACTAACGGATCAGATGAACATTTGATTATAAAAATTGATAAATATAAGGCATTGAGAGAAAAGGAAAGATTTATCTACTTATGTTTAATACCTTGGTTATTGCACGGTTTATTCATTTCAAGGCGAGATGACAGTTGTCATTCACTCTATTAATCGTAGGATGGATGATTGAATAGGCCTTGTGAACAAGGTGCAGCACATTTTGTGGTAGTGTTGATGATTGAAACGCAACAAGAGATTAAGATACAGACTGACTTGCACATATCGAGAAAATAAATGTATATGATCAGTTTCAATGTCATCTATTCTTCGTTTGCTTATTAGTAGGAGACATAATGTGTACCTGTGCTTCATCTGTTGTTTGAAGTTGAATCATTGCATGGAGAGGAGTCATTAAGTAGTAAGATGTCTATTTATTACAATAGGAGAAGCGTGCGGTACTCGAGATTTGATTGGAAAACAAAGAATCGATCACAGAGAAGGAAACTTACTTGCATATATTACATTAGACAATCATTATCGAATAAATGACACGTACTAAAGTGAAGGCTATATTGAACTATTCAATAAATAACAAATTCTGACAAGAAACGGAAGAAGCATAGGAAATTCCGGTATACGTCATTCATTCTACTCTTTCTACACTACAAAATGATTTATATATATCACTAATGAGTCAAAAGAAAAATGATGAATAATATGTGTAGTCTTTAAGTGTATGTTGAAGATGAATTCGTTGATGCACGATTATTGAACTAAATATTTCACACAGGTAGGCTTACTAACTTCGACGCTGGATCCGGTTGAACTTAATTTTCCCGTGCTTTCATCGATAGTAAAGAGAACTAGATTGTTGGAATCTTGATTGGCTACGATTAAAAATTTTCCATTTGGCGAAATATTGAAATTTCTCGGTGTATGTCCTTGAACGCTAATATGTTGAATAAGGGTGAGATGACCTGTGCCACTATCAACAGAGAAAACTGCAATCGAATCGTGACCACGATTGGATGCATAGAGATATTTCTCCGCTGTCGGATGGAGAAGAATTTCAGCGCCAGTGTTCGTTGCTGTGTAGTTTTCCGGAAGTGTCGAAATGATTTGAATTGGTTGCATAGTTGGAAAATAGTTGAATACGGTGATCTCTGATTTTAATTCATTCATAAGATAAACATATTTCTGATTAGAATTGAAGATAAGGTGTCGTGGTCCATCACCGAGTCTTGCTGCCTTCGTAATTGATGTTCGTAGGATTGAACCATTATTTGGAAAGAATCGATAATGATAGATTTGATCCGAACCTAAATCAGCACTGACAGCATATTGTTCTCGTTTGTCAAGAAGAATGCAGTGAGCGTGAGCCGACGTTTGTCGAATTGGATCCACTGATGAACCTTTTTGTTGATCAAAACCAGTTGATTGTTTAATACTACCATCATTTGAATCAATAGGTAGAACAGCAACAGTTCCATTGTTGTAATTAGCTACGAATAGGTATTCACCGACTCGATTGGTTGATAAGTAACATGGTCCACTACCACGGGATGATTGTTGATTGATGAAAGTTAAACGTTCTGGTTTAGTTGAATCGATCTGAAATGCACTTACGGTGCCATCATCTTGTTCATTAACTCCGTAAAGATATTTATGTGACGGATGAACAAGAACGTAAGATGCATTTGTTGTGGCTACCGATAACCCGAGTGGGGTTAGAGTTGATTTACTTTCATCTAATGCAAAAGCATAGATGCCTTTACTATCCGTAGGTCCATCTCCACTGTATGTGCCAACATAGACAATTGTTGGCGAAGCCTTCGTTGGCCAAACTTTCAAATAGACTACAAAAAATAAGAGTATGAAAGATGACCGTCTCTCTCGAAATGAGAGAACTTGCCAGTAAGTTTGATGAACCAATCCCACAAGAGCATATTCAGTATGATCGAGCAAATGATAAAACTTTGGCTTTTTGTTTTTTTCGAAATGTCAATACAGCTGACAAATCTTCACACAAACACCTGATAACATACGGATCTGTTATATTTACGAAGACATGACAAGTAAGGACACTAATCTGTTTTGTTGGATCGAAAGAAAAATATTTTCGTTATGTACAAGGTCATAATTGTATCATTGTACAGGTAGAAACCTTGAAATCGCGTGTGTTATACTAAGAAATAAACAACAAGTTACATTCACAGATATTTAACAAGAATCCGATATTCACGGCAAGACAAGAGATTTTCATATTCAACATCTAGTGATTTTTTCGAACCGCGTTTACGACAGTCACATTGATGAGCACTCGGAAGCGCAGGCTATCAGTCATCAACAATGACAGAAGAAAACAAAACTGTATATTTAAACATGCTCGAGACATTCGGAGACACTCATTGCCATTTAATCATGTTAATTAAAGATATGTTGAAACTCGGAAGAAGAAACAATTCTAAATATATTTCGAGACGCAGGATTATTTCCATAGAAGAAAAACAGATAGATTTCTCAAAAGAAAGTATTCATGACAATGTAGCATAAGCTAATATGATACATTTGTAGTCGAGTGAACTCTCTGAAAGACATTCGTTATCTTCAAACACATCGGCGAGACCTCATTCCCAGGATAAACTCAATTGTTATCTACATAATTAGAAAATACTCGTGAAAAGGACTTATCTATGTCTATAATAAAATTTCATTAACAGTAGTCTATAGAACATGGAACAAAAAAGGAACATTATCTATGAATAGTTGTTAATCCTTTATTGATTACTTTGATTTCTTTCAAATCTCATCATGAAATATTCATTCATGCATTCGTTTTACTACGTCATATGTAATTAGAAAGATAATAAGCAATTTGAAATGAATATTTGACGTCAGCAGAAAAGGAAAGTAGATCACAATGATATTTGTTGTCGAGTGAACATCTCATTTATTACCGTTTATGTTTACAAATATAATTCAAGCGATGTAAAAAACGTTGCTTAGCCTGAATTCGACACTCGAACTTGCGAACTGTTTGTCGAGTTGTTTGAATCGTATCTTTCAATATCTGAATGTCATGTTTAAGTCGATCGCGTTCAGCGCCTAAATATTCGATTCGATTTTTTCCATAGACAACCATACAATTGGAAACATCGATATAAAGCACGTCTTTTAACCAGCAACGCTTTCGACATGTCGGACAAACTAGGAAGAAATGTCAATAGAATAATTTTCGAGAGATAGACAAATGGTTAAACCTTTGTTTGTTGTAAACCATTGATGAATACACAATGCACAAAACATATGGCCGCATTTTAAAGCTACAAGTTGTTGTTGTGGGTCTACACCAAATGTTTCATAACAGATCAAACATGAAAAGAGATCTTTGGGTATGTGTGTGTCGAATTCGACTGAAGAATAAGAGTCAGTCATTACGGTTGAATTGTCATCGAGTTTTTGTCGTTGATCAGCAAAAGGTCATTTATAGAAAACAATTTTGTTTTGCCGCGTAGAATTTGCTTTTTCTTTTCATTTTATCTTCTTTCGATCTTGTTACTATATGTTGCCGTGTGAGAAAGAGGAAATCTAATTACACAACTGGTTTGGTTGTGTAATCAGATTGGTTGTAGAAATCTGTTCCATATTTTTTTTCTTAGTCGAAAACATAAACGATGTTCACTTAAGAATTTTCTCCGTAAATGTCAGATGGTCTGTTTACATAGAACTGATCTATATAGTTACAAAGGGATACAAACACTGTAATAGGAAAATGATAAAATGTGTCGATTTTTTTTGAGTAGATCTGTACGACGGGAGAAGAAAGAATATATTAAACAAATCGCAGTTCACCTTGTCATCTTCGATTTCCGTCTCGTTTTCATGTTCTTCTCCCTGGTGTTTTTCATTCATCATTTCTTTTTTGTTCTTCATTATGTCTAACATGAAGAAGAAAGATTTCATCAGGAGAAGAAAAATCCAACTGGAATGATTAGGATCGAGATGTAAAGAGAGTATCTGTCATGTTTGAGTAAAGGGAATTCTACAGTTAAGGGAGAGTGAGAGAGAGAGAGAGAAAGAACTCACAATGATTTCAGCTTTCTTTTCTCTATTCATTAAAAAAACATGTTAAAGAGAACCATTAATAGTTGGAAAAATCTCGCGTCGTAGAAAAAAAATGATTGTTTTAATTCTCTGTGTATACAACATATCCCTGTTCTCTCTTTAGTGACCGATTTGTTTACTTTTTCCTCTGATTGACATGAGTCTGAATATCATTATCATCAACATACATATATATATAGACACATTGATGTACGTAAATTGTTTTGGAATGATGAATGATGACTATTGAACTCGCTTTTTTTCTTTGCTTGAGGATATATGAACTCTCTTGTGGTGTACACATTCCATTCGCTCTTTTCCCAAATGTTTCTCATACCTCTTGTCATGTTTGTTTAAAGCATATTTCATGCTTCTCTTTCTCTCTCTCTCTCTTCTAGAGAACATCAGATTCGTGTTTCCTATCCACTAGGTTAGAATGATATGACGGGTCAAAATTTAACGTTTGTAAACGGAATCGAGTCTGACTCGATGAATCCGTTCGATGAAACTCTAAGTTCGTTGATATTTTTTACCGTTGTTTACGTACTCGTTCTTATATCTGGTCTCGTCGGCAATTTTATTGTGCTTTTTGTCACATTGAAAAACAATGACTTAAAGCATTTTACCAATTATTTTTTCGCTAATCTCAGCGCGGCTGACGTTATCGTTCTGCTATTTTGCATTCCAACTGCTATACACGATATCTGGGCGAAAGATCAATGGTATATGGGTAAATTTTTCTGCTTAAGCAACCAATATATTGAAAGTTGCGCGACAAGTGTATCATCGTTAACTATCATGGCAATTAGTTTTGAACGTTTCATCGCAATATGTGAACCATTCAAAGTAAAGAATGTTTTCTCTCCAAATTCATTCTGTATTCAGCAGCGTGCTTTAGGTACATGATATATTCAATGAAACATTAACATTAATCACAATTCTTCTAATTTGGGCAATCGGTCTAATATTTTCTCTGCCATTTGTCATCTTCGTCGAGTACAATCCACATTTCAATCCAGGGGAGTTCGTCAATGACACTAGCAGTCTAGTTACAATTTGTCGATTAGATGCGAACTCAAGTTTAGCACGCACTTGTATAACCTGGTTCATCGTCATGCTTATATTTGTACCATTTTTTGTTTTAACGTATATTTATACACGAATCATCGTGGAATTAGTTCGACATCGTGCTGCACGTTTGCGTACAATGAGAAAAAGTCAGCAACAGCAACTTGATGAAGAAACCAACAGTGTGAATAATGGTTTAGTCCTAACAAACGATCAGCAAACATCGAATTCATTTCTTTCTTACAAAAGTTTCGAGCAAAAGCGTTTGAACACAGTGATTATTTGCGTTGTTACCGTGGCTTTTTTTGCTTGTCAATTTCCAGTGCGTATTATTCAATTAACTGACATGTACATGCGTGTTCAAAATGAGGAAGTAATGTCTCACTTAGCATGGATCTGGTTATGGAAACTATCTAAATTACTTTTCTTTCTTAATTTTACAGCAAATCCAGTAAGGAGATGATGAGAAACATATGTGAATTACTCTTAATGACCTCATTGTTTTCTTTTTTTTTTTCGTCTAGATTATTTATAATATCTTATCGACCAAATTCCGTCGGTCATGTCGTCGCTATTTACAAATTCATCGCTCGTTGAGTTTTGGAACCAATTCATCACGAAAAACGAGTATTACTTCATTTCTTTATTTGAACATATATAAGAATCGTCGCCGACAAAGTAGTTTACAGAATAATCAACAGCAGTATCCGTTTAATCACCATCAAAAGTTCAATTTGATACGTGCGCATTACGATAGTGAAAACCGAGATTTAGTCACCGTTGGAAATAATGACGAGATCTTTGTTCCGACATTTCAAGTTTTGAATGAAGAAGAAAATGAAAATATCGTTCAATAACAATGGAAATCAATGTTCAATGTATATTCATAGATTTACATTGCTTTTGTGTGCGCGTGCGTCCTTAGATATTGTTTCTTTCTTCTTCTTTTGATTAATACAACAGAATAATATCTTATCTGTAAGAAGTTCTTTTCCCAAATCTCATTCAATGGATTCTTGAATACGACCGTGTAGTTCGTCTCGACTTTCTATGGCGTCAGGGTGAAACCGAGATGAATATCTGGTGTTACAAAAGATACTAATCTATAATTAATTTTGGTCTAAGTAGAGCTGGACGAAAGATTCTTAGTCTTAATATTAATTAAGAGAAAGCACGAGATCAATTAAGTTTCACTGGTGCAATCGATTCACACGAAGGTAAACAGCATATTGAAAGAATTTGATTCTTCCTCTGTTCAGTATATACAGAAATTGGTAATATAAGCGTCACTAGTGCTCAACATTTGATTCATTCTAAAATTGAAACATCACGTAACTTGGAAAACGATGAGATATGGTTCGCTATTTGCCGGTAATTATGTATATACATTGTAAAAAGGACATTTTGACATATAACGATGACGAAGATGATATAATATGAACTGGATTCAATAGAATATTTCATCGATATGTATGTGAATAACTAGATGTGTAACCAGCTCCTTCTTTGTAATACGAGCACACGCACAAGTAGAAAACACGTATCAATCAATCGCGTTATACCGGTAACATGACTGGTTCATCATCCAGTTCGAAACAGAACATTACGATAAGCAACGCGTTTCGCTCGATTGGGAAAGGTACACGCATATAAAGAAAGAAATGAAGAAAAACGTCAGGTTATTTTCTTTATACACAGGTAATATTGACCGCTCGATTTTCATTGATATGCTTAATTGCTACATAATTGTATGTTTCTTGTAGCATCCGATTAAATCAGCGATGTCGGCTGAAGTTCCTTTAACAACAATTATCGTTGATGGCATGGCGAATACACGGCACTCAGCTCCATTGACAACTGTTAGTGAAGATGGCCAGAGCGTCAATCAAACTGCAATAACGTACAATCCATATAAACCACGGGGAAGTGCGAGTAATCCTAACGAGCGTAGCCTATCTTTACTTGATCCATTCTCTGATCGTGTAAGTACGATTCTCGTGTGGCAAAATTTAACAGTATCAACACGTCCTGATAAACGAAAAGAATTTTTCCAACGTTTAAAATCTTCTAAAAATTTTATTCCAAAAAGAAAAACTCTGTTGAATGACGTTAGTGGAGCAATCACTGGTGGACTATGGGCAGTTATGGGTAAGATATCTTCTTGCTCTGTATAAGATCGTATACTCAACCTTATGTTCTCATATTTTGATGCTACAGGCCCATCTGGTTCTGGTAAATCGACTCTTTTGAATACCCTAGCTTGCCGTTTGGATGTGAATACGGTTGTGAAAGGTGAAATGCGTCTAAATGGATGTGAATATGATAATGCGGAATTGAAACGTATTGCTGGATATGTTATGCAAGATGACTTATTGAATGGCTCCTTAACTGTTGAAGAAACCTTGATGTACACGGCTGAGCTTCGTTTGCCACGAGAGTTCACTAAGGAACAACGTCGTTCACGTGTTGAAGATGTGATGGTTGATTTAGGTTTAACTCATGTTCGTGATGTTGTCGTTGGAACACCATTGAGAAAAGGCATTTCTGGCGGCGAACGAAAACGTCTATGTGTCGGCATGCAACTACTCAATCGTCCACAGTTATTGTTTCTTGATGAACCAACATCCGGATTGGATTCGGTGACAGCATTGGATCTTCTTCGGACATTTCATGCACTTGCTCATGGAAAATCTTCTGAAAAAGCGGTAACGATTGTTTGCTCGATTCATCAACCGCAAGCGAAGATTTTTAATTTATTTGATTCGCTCATTCTACTAAAAAATGGTAACATCATCTATCAAGGCCCACGAAAACAAGCCATGGTAAAAGAAACTAATGTGCGCGTGCTTCTTTACACTTTCTTTTGCTTTTAGGAAACGTTTCGGGCGGCAGGCTTTCCATGCCCATTATATACTAATCCAGCTGACCATCTGTTGGATGTAATTACACCATCAAAATACGATCCAGATGCTGAGTCCAACGAAGGATATATATCTCTCGAACAACAAGCAATTAATGATCAAGCAATCATTGCTGCTCAAGCTCCAGTCACAATTGATTTAAATATGGGTGCAGATAAACGTGTTGCTCAAATGAGCAATCTTCCAAAGAATCCAACTTGGTATAAGCAAGTTCAAATATTGCTTCGACGAAACTTTCAAGAACACTTACGAGCATCAAAAGTAATCATCACTTCTTTGGTCCAAACGGTTGTCATTGCTGTGCTGATTGGTACAGCTTTCCTACAAATAGGCACAACACAGAAAAGTACCGTTCGTCGGCAACCAGTTTTATTCTTCTGTGTCGTCAACCAGGGTGTTTTCGGTGCATTGATGGTCATTAATTCATTTCCAATGGAGCGCGCGTTAACACTACGTGAACGAGCATCGGGAACTTATTTTGCTAGTGCATATTTTACAGCTAAAATTGTTGCTGATACACTCATACAAATTCCAGTGCCAATTGTATTCGTAAGTAGAATTCATTGAAATTATCCGAATAAAAAACGTTCAATGAATATTTCTAGTCATGTGTTGCTTATTTCATCATTGGCTTACAACCAGTGGCTGGAAAATTCTTTCTATTTATGCTTTTCATGATACTATGTTCACTATCTGCAACATCACTAGCATTGATGATATCTGCTCTCTGCAAAACAACGGATATGAGTGTTACTGTTCTTCCTATGGCTTTGGAAGTATCTCGTCTTTTTGGTGGGTTCTTTTTGTCTCCAGCTAATTTACCAAAATACTTTTCTTGGCTCGATGCTCTCTCCTATGCCAAGTATACATATGTTGGCATAAGCTTGAATGAACTAACCGGGTTAGAATTATCATGTGATGGTCTGACAAGTGGTACCTGTATAAAAACCGGACAGCAAACAATTACTTCACTTGGTTTAGATTATATCAATATTGGTGGATGTATTGGAGCTTTGCTTGCATTCATTTTGTTTTGTCGGCTTGTTGCCTTTCTCGGTGTAAGATTTTTGAAAAGCTAAGCTTTCATACCTAATATTCTTTGTATGCACATTTTTGTTGATTGAATTAATAAAAACTAAACGTTATGAGTATATAATATACTATTGAAGAATGTTTATTGGTCAAACCTGTTTGTGAATTGAACTTCTTATCTGACAAAAGGAAATCCAGCTGATGCTTGGCGCTATCTATGATTAAAACCAGTAGATATTTCTTTGATTTGTTCATACGTTCGTTATCGTTGGATTAGAAGATTAATATCATTATAGACGAGATTTAAATCTGAGCGATGAATGATTTAACATCATCATTGGATAAGGATAGGAAAAGGCCGTTTGTATCTTCTGATGCATTGAACAGTTTAAAATCGCTGCTCCATGATAATCTTGCGTTAAATGAGAGTTTAATCGATCGTGAAGATGAAATCGAAACGAAGAAACGAAGAGAATCACAACTCCTCATCAAACAACAAGTTTTGATCAAAAATTTAACCGAACCTAATGTAAATGAAACTAAACCTCGACGCGTTATTACCTTAAAGTTAGTAGTCTTTCATTCTCCACCACCAATCTCCATGATTCGTTTGATCAAAAAGAGAATATTCTGAACGACGGCAGATCCAATTATCTGAGATACCTTCTACCACGCCAAAACGTATAGTTTTACGTGATAATGAAGAAAAAGGTAACTACTTTGATCTAAAGAATATTCTAAGTCTGCTATCTAAGTTGAAGATAGTCACGAAACAGACTCGATCAAGTCGCCCGAGTCATCGTCAATAATAGCAGCAGCAGCAGCAGCGCCAACAACAATGCATATAACTGAACAATGGTTGATGCAAATACGTGGAATTCTTGCCTCTTCGCAAACTCAAGATAATAAACTAAGAGCCATAGGAGCCTTGACTTCATTCACGTACATTCCGCACAATTGATAACTTTTGTCTTTGGTATAAACTATTTTTTGTTTCATAGTAACATAGACCATGATTTACGATTGAACTTTTCCCCAAATAACAATCAAGTAACCACAACGCGTCAGTATCCAATCTTCCAATCGATGCGTACACCTACAGAAGAACATCAATCATACATCCCTCCTCAATTACTCGACTGTTGTGAATCGTACGTACTCAAATTGATTTTTCAATTTCAAATCTCATCTTCTATTCACCAGACATCAACAACAACAACAATCCGCATCGATTGAAAGGAAATCAGAGTATTTCGATAGTTGTCCAACATCGTTATCCTTGCGTGAAACGATGATTAATATAGCTAACCGTTTGGTCAAAACTGAGCCGATACCGATGGTCGATACACATTGTCATTTCGATTTAATCTTCGATCGGTATTATTTAAAACTGAGAAAATTGTTCATTTCTATTTTCCCATCTAGTCTTTATATTCAACATAATGATCCAAAGAAATATTTTGACGAATACAAGGATTTCTATCCACCTGGTTTGTCGTTTGAATTAGCCATACACGTCTTTTGGCGCCCGAGACATTTAACTCTAAGTATGAACATGATTGCTTCTACTTGAAATCAATTTCTTCTCGTAGATAATTGGTTGAATCGATATTCCAAATACTTAGATGACGAACGTGTCTATGGATCGTGTGGCATCCATCCACATTGGAGTTTTACATGGAAAGAATCCTATATTCGTGATATTGAACGATGTCTTCAACATCCGAGAGTAATAGCAATCGGAGAAATTGGATTAGATTTTGGTCCCAAGTGAGCATCTATTCCATATTTGAATGTGAAGAATCAATTTTCTCGGTAGAAATACATGTAATATGGATCAACAATCTCGAGTATTCGAGGAACAATTGAAACTAGCTGCAAAATGGTGCAAACCAGTTGTAATCCATTCTAGAAATGCCTATCAGCAGACATTCAATATTATGAAAGAAGTGAAATCGAAAGAATCACTCCTCTTAGATAGACATTTTTTCCTTTTAGCATCTTAGTCCTAATCATAAGATTCACTTACATTGTTTTGTTGGTACCATCGCTGATGCTCAACTCTTTACATCATACTTTACCGAGATCAAGTTTGGTTTTACTCCCATTGTTACTCGTGTAAAGTTTTTACACATTGTCATTGCACAACTTGATCTTCGACAGATCCTGTCTGAAACCGATTCACCTTATTTCGTGCCTGAAGAAGTATTTCATCTTGATCGATTTAAAGATATACGCTTTGTTGGTTTTTAGCTTTCTAATCTTTCACGTTGTGCACATCCGGGTATGGTTTACAGTGTAATTGAACTTATTGCACAAATTCGACAGTTGCCCATTGAAAAAATCGCACGTCAATTGAGGGAAAATGCGCAACGAATCTATGGAGTTTAAATGATCAATTTAAAGTTTTCTCTTTCTGTTATTTTTTGTCTTTTCGAAATATTTGAAAGTGTGTTTCGCTAGGTCTATCTGTTTTTCCTATAGGAAGTCTGTTTCTAGTACTGAAATATAAGTTTTGTCAACAGAACGTCCGTGAATCATCTGTACGATACATGGAAAAAAATGATAGCATGGAGAATTGCAAGTTTTCTACCTCCATCTATTCTCTTTAGCGTATTGTTCCGCGTAGACGAGAGCACTCCTTTGATAGAAAATCAACATATCTATTTGCTGTCGCCTAGACGATCCGTATAGCACATGTGTTCGTGCAATGCTTTGTTAATACAGCTTCTTTCTACGACAAGATCTGCCCGTTTATTAAAAAAATCGCTGGAAGGAAAACAATCATGGTACCAACACGACTAATTGCTACTAAAAAGAGTGCTACAGTTTTTTGTTTTATTCTGTTATCGTTTATGTTTATCAGCAATCGAAAATCAGCGAATAGTTCATATTTATTGAATACAGGCAAAAAAGAACAAACGTTTATATATCGTCGACGACCATGTTCATGCTCCCGACCACTTTCTCAACAGGATTCAAACGAACTGATTATTGACGAAACACCATCTTCACTCTGTAGTCAATATTCAACTTTACGAGGTTTCCATCAACGTATAATTTCTATAAGTATGTTTGGATTCGCATCAAAGTCTGTCTTTGATCGAAATTCATCGACAACTTATCTTCATCAGTTAATAGCTGACATGAACAAACTCTATCCAAATTGGATTTTACGAGTCTATCATGATTCGACAATTGAGAGTAAACTGGTCTGTTCAGTAGAATGTACTTACGACCATGTCGATTTTTGCAATGCAAACTCGTTGGGTCGTTTGGGTAGTGTCAGCAGTTTCGTTCCACCAAAAATCTGACGATTTTTACCTGCAGGTGATAACCATGTCGATATAATGGTTAGTCGTGATCTCGATTCGCCGCTGACGCTACGTGAATTAGCTGCTGTTGATGAATGGATATCATCGGGAAAAGCATGGCATACGATGCGTGATCATCCAATGCATTTTGTTGTGATGCTCGGTAAGAAAGTTCATATATACCAAAAGAGATCGTTTTTTTCAATCACAATGTTTAACCTAGGAGGTATGTGGGGCTTTCGACCAGCGTTAAATCGAACATTTTCTAAGTACGTTCTACAAACAATTCTCAATCGTTCGTTGGTAACTGGCTACAATGGAAGAGGTGATCAAGGATTTTTATCAGATAACATTTGGCCACATATTCAGAACCAAATCATCGCACACGATAGTTATTTGTGTAGGGAACCCTACTCAAGAAACTCTCGTCCTTGGCCGACACGTCGGTTGCCTCCTTCTAATGATACGAATTGTTTTGTCGGATGTTCACGACCTTGTTGTCAACCGTCGAAATATCCATTTGGTGAATGTCCCACAGCTTGTAGGCCGAAAAATCACACTGATTGGGCAATGTGTTGAAATATGCGAAAGCAAATGTTAATTCGTTTTATTCTATAAGACCAAAAAAATAGATTATACTGTACAAACGGGAGGAAAAGCACAAATTAGTTCAAATCCATTGCTGATTTTCTTCAATGGGATGCAAACGTGGAACGATTGATCGTTTTGGAAAAGGAACAGCTGAATGTCGTCGTCTGTGTTGATTATCTTTTTTATTGTAAAGGAGTCGTTTCAATGGAATGATATTATTCGCTGGTAGTGCCGACACAGTTGAATGACGTTTGCTACGACGTGGTGTTGATGTTTGATGAGGTTTAAGCAAAAGACGTGTTTGTTGTGGAGAACTCTTTGGTGTACTCGTTGCACGAGCTGCAAATGCAAATGCCATTTTGCTTGATTTTTTTCGATATTCACTATTCGCTGTCGAATGTAATATCGCTGGTTTGGATCCATGAGACAAATACGGACAGCAAATCTCTTCTTGTGATAAAGTTGTTAGTTGTGAACTGATGGAAAAATTCATGAGTGGAATATTGCAATTGTTGTCGAGTCGATGTATTTCGGATATGATGTCGTTGAGATGATGCACAAGTTTGCGCTTAAGTCGATCTTTGGACATTGTTGACATGATTGAGAAGAATGTATTAAGTTATCTGAAAGGTAAAAAGAAAATTGAGATTCCGTTTTCTTTTATCCGTTAGTTTGATTACATATCGATAGTTTTCAATGACACGATGTCTATTATTATGATTACAGAAAAGAGAAAGATGAGACTGGAAGAAAAAGAAAATGAAATCGCACAGTAGGACTTTATCTTCAAACAGTTCGGCGAAGCGCGCATCACATGGCGACAGGTGATGATGTACTGTACTTGTCATTGGCAGTTGACGAAACTACATAGGAGGTCTTGTCTATCAACACATCTCATGCCGAGAACAAGCATGGTTGATTAAAATGACAGAATTAAAGCCGATCATTTGACTAAAAAATCTTTTTCAAGTTATTTATTTAACTTACATTTGGTAGACTTTTCAAATTGTTTGCAATACTATGTGTATGCTGTCTGTTGAAATGCTTAATTGATTGCATTTGACGAGTAACGATAATATATATACACTTCCTCTCTCGCTTTTTTTTCTCTCTCTGTTGATTGGTCCACTGTTTGTTCTCTCTTTTCACACTGACCGGAAAATATCGCTATTGGCTATGGAACGAAATGAAAAACAAATCCCTTTCGTTCTATGATCATTGTTGAAGCGTGCAAGAACAGCAGCATCATTTCGCACATTATAGACCCCTTATTAGAAGAGACAGTGTTGCCGAGTTTGTTTGATCGGTATACAGTACAGCTCAATCCCCGAGGCTCAGTAAACATCGAACGATCAAACGCATGAAACTATCCTTCAAATTCGATGTATACTGATCATACACGATAAGCATTTGGACAAATAAAATAAAATAAAATAAATGTAAAATTGATGCTACTCTAATTATAAACATAAGAGCAACGATCGTGGCGATTGAATTCACGCACTATACAGTCTATATCATTTTTCGATCGGGTTCATCACTTTGAATATTTCAAAGATTACATAGTGTGTGAGCTACTATGTTGTAATATTTGATAAGAACGTCTGTCAACCATCGGACATCGTCTTTTTGACACTCGACTTGTTATTTTTGTTGCTAACGCTATCGACATTCTCTAAACAGATGTGCTTTTCACAAGCTCTTCCCCACCCACTCAAACGACGATGGTGCAATTGATACGTCCATTTACAGGTATGTTGACAATATGCCACGAGCAGTCACTCATCATAATAATAGCGATGATGATGATGATGATGAATATATTTTCAATCGATCATCTATTATGCTTCTGATGTAACATTTGTTCTTAGTATTAGACCCATCTGGTGGTGTCTAGCCTAAATATTATAAAAAAAAGGCAATAGTGAAACGTAAAGATTTCGACACGTGTATGATAGAGACGATTGAAAATCAAATCAAGCTGTGATTATGCCACAACTACTAGAGCGGTGTGCATCACAGTTATTTTCCGCTTCAAATAAGACAAAAAAGAGTAACGTTCGCTTGTCAAGTCAATACACTTCTGTGATGAGTATACGCCCGAAGGCATGTCCATTTTTCTTCTTCTTCTTCTTCTTCTTCAAAGGCAAAACACCAAAACCTTTAGCTCTAAAATTTAACAAAGTATATATGTCTGTATGTATCTATTTTGAAATATAATACAAGAACAACAACAGATGAAAGATATACACTTGCTGTGCGTAGAAAAATTCTAATGAGCAGTTCATTAAAAAAGTATTGCTGTTCATCAAACAGGCTCATGCGCCTTTGCACATCCGTCACATTATGATGACAATAAATGCAAATTAAAATATTTTAACATACAATCACTTTGATTGATTGGTATCGATCAAAAAACTAATAATAACAATCGAACCATGAATTGAATTGTTCTGCGCGTAAATATTTTTCATTTTCCTCAATTCACAACAAACTCTGTCCGATGCTTCTAACAATACTAACTCGAATGTCAAATGATGAACAACGTTTACAATTATTGCAGACACTGCGAAATAAATTATCAAGCTATCGGCTCACTTGGCTGGACATACGAAATATGATCAGATTATTTTCACCGACAACTCGAATTCGATTCGATATTTTGCAATTTTTTCTTTTGTATATGAAGAATTTCTCAGCAAATCTCGAAATCGAAGACTATATCGATCTATATGATCTATGCACGAATGATAATGAACAAATGAAAGTTCGTTTGTTCGAACTAATCTACGAGAAATTAAATACCCGAAATCAGCAAGATGTGGAACGAATCTTGAGTTTATTTCAAACGGCACATAGTCGACAGAAAATAGAAGGTATGCTTCGAAACTATCGATCCAAAGAAAACCTTGAGCAATACAGAGGTACACGGTACAAGAATATCCATCTACTGAATTTCATCGAGTCGATTCTTTTAGTTGTTGAATATCAACAATGTACAGCACATCCCGGAGAGATTGCAGCGAATAGAATCCTTTCACCGACATTGTCATCTGCTGAACAACTGTTTGTTGCACCATTGAAACGTAAATATTCTTACGATTACCAAGATCAATCATGTCGTCAAGTCATCACACCCATACTATATTCACAGCAAGAAGAACTGATTCAACAACGAGATATACTATCGATTAGTTCATCAAATTCATCAATTTCCTCGACAAGTGGTGAAAACGTTCCTATCCGCACACGTTCATTTATGATTGCTATCAAGAATACATTCGAATGTTTAAGAGAAACATCAAGTTGACTTTGTTGTTCTGAACAACAAGTTGCTGCCCGCCCATGATGATCAAAAAGCGGATGCGCGCGTTCCACTCAACTGATTAATTGATTGGTTGGTTCCTCTCCATCGATAGCATGCCTATCGGTTCTGTCTACTTTCTTGAGTATCGACCACTTGGATAGCACTTAACGGTTTCTCTCGCTTCACTTAACGATGACGACAAAAAGTGACTTGAAACAAGTGTTTATCCATGTGATCATGAAGGGAAAATATGGGAGAGAAAACATTTTTCTTTCGTTACTAACGAGTGATGAAAATATTCTCTGTTCGTCGAACATTATCAGCAGAATGAATCTATTCAGGAAAAAAAACCATTGAGCACGTTCTGTTAAAGATGAGCAAAGCGAGATAATTGACCAAAATGACATATGCTCGCAAAAGCATTGATAACGTCAGACGAAGAATGTTATACGATAGATGTCAGTAACTATCAACAAGTCGTTTTATTTTCGAAAACTAATCAAGATAACATCCGTAGAAAACTTTTCGGAAAAAAGATACTCGTCAATTTTGTACGGATTTATTCAATTGTATAATTAATTGCAAGGATCCCTTTTTTTTAATGGTTTGATGAGTCATCAAATCATATAAATTCGTGTTGATCTAATTTTTATTTTTCGGCGGGTTAATAGACTCTGAAGAAAAGCTTTTCTTTGCCATTTCATCGTTCGAAATCTTCCTAGATTATTCGTTTAATAACATCGATCGTCAATGGCAGCAACTCGCGATACAACAGGCTCTGTTGTACCATCGATAACTCCAAATAATAATAATAACAATAATAACCATACATCACAACAAGTGTCACGTATCAACGGGACGGCAATTGTATCAATTCCAACCGCATCAGGTTTTCTATTTATATGTCTATTCCATAGTTCTATCCCGATCTTCTAGCGGATGCGATTGCTTCGTTTTCTTGGGGAAATTATTTGAAAACAACGAAAGCACACGGTGCTCCGGTTAGCTATTTTCGTCATGTAAGTGTTTCTATTGTTTACTTTGCGATGCGAAATGCTTGTTTGTTTCCAATAACCTAGGCACCACTGCAAGAAATGTGGGGTCAGCTAACACCAGGAATGAAAGTTGAAGTGATTAATACCGACTGTTCTTATAATTCGAATGATCCAAAGGAGAAAATTTTCTGGTTTGCGTATATTGTTCGGCTAGAAGGCTATTTAGCCCTGTTACGTTATGAAGGCTGTGATGATGATCCATCAATGGATTTCTGGTGTAATTTATGTAACAAAGATGTACATTGTGTCGGCTGGTGTGGACAGCATGGAGTGAAATTAGCACCGCCAAGAAGTGCGTTCAGGGAAAACGTTCGTAAGACTGAAGGAGAGGAAGTTGTTTTTGTATGTTTAGGTATCGAATATCGACAAACGGATTGGAAGTCGTTTCTTGTAAATAAATTAGTTGGTGCAAAAACATTGCCGGACAGTTTTCGTCAAAAAGTAAAATAATCAGCAGTTGAAACATTCGAAAATTAATCTATTGTTTTAGATTCAATTCTCCCTTCGGTGTTCATTTAAAAAGCATACGCTTGTGGAACTGATCGACAAATTTCAAGTGTCGCGTATGCGCGTTGGAAAAATATCCGATATCGTATGTATTCTCTCTTGTGCAGTTTCTGGAATCTTGATTTATCTTCTAGATCGGTGGCCGTCTACGAATCAATTATGAAAATGTAAGCTGAATGAATGAGGAAAAGTCAATATGACGTCTGAGACTTGTAGGGTGGCGGTGAACATTTCTGGGTTCATCATACATCGGATTTGATTCATCCGGTCGGCTGGTGTCATGTGACCGGACATGATTTGGATGCAACTGATGATTATAGAAGTGAAGCAGCACGAATCAGCGAGACGAAATCTTATCCGACCAATATCGCAACACCGGATCTCTTTCGTCAAGTATGTGAATACAACTGACTGTAGAAAGAAATTGGAACGATAATTTAGGTACCCATAATCACATCGGAAGACGAACAGTTCAAGGAAGGACAAAAACTAGAAGCGGTTGATCCATTAGAAATGTCTCGTATTTGTCCAGCGACTGTCGGAAAAGTAATACTTGAATTCGATTGTGAATGTTTTCAAGATTCCCTCCTTCTTTCTCCTTCGCGATCTTATAGGTATTAAAGAACGGTTATTTTATGTTATCAGTCGATGGATCGAGTACAGAGGATGGTTCCGATTGGTTTTGTTACCATTCGAGTTCGCGTGTAATCTTCCCCGTGAATCACTGTAAAATTAATAATATTCCTTTGTCACCACCCCTTGGTAAATCTTGCAAGGAACTATTACGTTTCACTTGACGTTTTCTGGCCTTTTCAGGTTATGAAGGTGAATTCGAATGGGAAAGATATCTTACTGAAACCAAGTCGGATCCAGTTCCTCGAGAACTTTTCCAGATTGTCAAAGTAACACTTTTCTCCAATATGCATCGATTATCGTCTTCATTCTATAGGAAAAAACGACGAATCCATTTTCTATCGGAATGAAAATCGAAGCTGTCGACATGATGGCTCCACATTTAGTATGCGTAGCGACTGTGGCGAATGTTGCTAGCAATTTAATTCGTGTGCGTTTCGATGGATGGAGTGCAGATTTTGAGCAATGGATCGATTGCCAATCAACAAATATTTATCCCGTTGGTTGGTGTGAATTAGTAGGTTATAAGCTCGAGCCACCGAAAGAGTCCGAACAAGAGAACACTGGTACGCTAGAAATAAATCCGTTGTCCATTGCAGAACTTTGCTTTTATTAGAATCAACAAAAAAATCTTTTAAGAAACCAATGGGCCGAAAATCAAATAAACGAAAGCGGCTCAATTAGAATAATTACTTACATAAAATAAGTAAATGAACGTCTTCTATTGTTGAAGAAAATGTACAACTTATTTTATTTCTTTCAGGCGTTAGCTCCTATCCTATAAATACACAAACACAATGGCATTACAATCGGCGAGATGCATTTTCTTTTCTTCGAAAAACTATACATATGAACTTTTTCAGAGCAACTGTATATAGTACTAATACCGCGTGGTAAATGGCGTGACGAGAGAGAACTCGAGATATGTCTTTCATTTATTTTTCGTTTCCTATTTATATGTATATGAGTGTACGCTTCTCGACAAACAAATGGATTTGTTTAGATTACGGATATTTTCTTCCTCTTCTTCTTCTTTTGCGCTTTTCAGTCCTTGGTTTCATATTGAAAGCAGGTGCCTATGTGATTTTTCTTTTTCTCTTGTTTTGCGTCGTTGTTATTCTTCAATCTTGATGCTGTGATGTACTTTTCGACTGAATATGTATATGTATAGTTCAAAGTAGAGCTTCAATTAGATACTCAATTGTCCAGTTCTTGCCTTCTTCTTTTTTTTTTTGTTATTATCTATTCGTTTTCTTTTTCGTGTTCTCGCTATTGAACAGTTAACAATGATATTCAAAGAAAAAGCAAAAGACTATTTGTCCTTTCTTCACCTTATCGCTACTTGAGAGAAATGATAAAAGGTTAACTTTGTTCCTCGCTTGCCAATGTAAATACTAAGTTACAATCAAGGTACGATTTATTTTATGAAAATCTCTTTTTTTGACGAAATAATGCAGAAATCCAGTTACTAGTGACCTCCACATGTCAACGATGTTATTTGTCTGATTTGTTATGTTACGGTACGGGTAGCATGCAAGTGTGTCTCGTGAAAAACTTTCATCGTTGTTGAGCAATACCTGTTGACAGCAAATAAAAAACCGCAGCAAACATATAGTTTTTTTTCTTTCATATTTCTTTACGCAAAAGAGGAAAAACAACACGTTTTTCTTTCATTTGAAACTTATTTAAAATGGCACCGAGAACAGGCAAAAGCGCTCGCGTTTCGCGCTCATCGCGCGCGGGAATCATCTTTCCAGTCGCTCGTATGCATCGATATTTAAAATCGGCTCCGTTAGCTACAAATCGTGTTACGAAAAGTGCGGCAGTTTATTTAGCCGCAGTTGCCGAGTACCTTGTCGGTAAGAATTCATCAGTCAGAGAGCGAAAAGAGAGTCAATCGAATTCCATATCTAGCTGAACTTCTCGAACTGAGTGGCAATGCCGCCAGAGACAACCGGCGAACTCGAATTATCCCACGGCATGTTTTTCTCGCTGTCGCAACCGATGAAGAACTGAACAAAGTATGTAGAATAAAGAAATAGCTAGATCAAAATGTATTTTTGGGTTTCTAGCTACTTCATAGTTGCGTCATTCCTGAGGGTGGTGTTCTTCCATCTATCCTTTCGCTTAAGGATCCGACAAAGACTGGCAGTAATTCGAACCAATCGTCCTTCAGTTCATTGCAGAATTCTACAGCAGCGGCAACAACGAAAAAAGCTGCGACAAAAGGAAAAACTGCGAAACGTACTACAGCGAAACCGGCGTTGACTAAGGGTGGCTTAGGAAGTTTTACTGTTTTGGGTACTCCGAAATCCAAAGTAATGACTTTTGTCAATATAGATTACTTTCATATGTGCTCTTTGCTAGGCGGCTGCACTGAAAGGCACTGCGATAACAACGCTCTCGGAACGTGTTCTTAATCGAGGACAAAAGGCATGTTTGATGAGATACGACAAAATTTCTCTATCTAAGCATCTACCTATCTGTTTCAGTTGACTGTCGTTCAAGGCAATATTATTAATATTACTGCTGATGCAATTGTTCATCCAACGAACAGTTCACTTAGTCTAGGTGGTGAAGTTGGTTAGTAGAGTTTCTATGCTTTTTTTTCTCTCGATAAATGTCATTTTCAAACCTCGAAATCAGGTCATGCTTTGGGAGCTGCTGGAGGACGAGAATTAAAAGAAGCTTTGTCCGAAGCAGCAAAAACGAAATCATTAACCCAGACAAGTGATGGTAATGTGAAACTGCCAAGATACGTTCTTTTCTTGAACACATATTCTATTGCGTAGTGACTATCACCGATGCACCTAATCTATCTGCAACACATTTGATTCACGTTAATTCGCCAACATGGAATGCAGCAAGTCAAGCCGAGTGTATTGCTGATCTTGACAAAGCTGCATTAAACATTCTTAACCTTGCCGAAGAACAAGGCCTTACATCGGTTGCGATACCGAGCATTAGTAGTGGAAAGTAAGCTGCTGTTCTCTTTGATTTCCTTTCAATGACATCATGTTTCGTGGTTTTTCAGTGCTGGATTTCCAAAACAAACTGCTGCGCAAACAATTCTTGCTGCATTATCGAAATTTTTTCGTCAAAATGCAACAACAAAAATCCAACAGGTTTTCTTTGTTCTCTACGATGCCGAAAGTGTGAATGTTTATACGACTGAACTTCAACGTATGGTTGAATAATATCGAAGGGATTTTGACACAGACTGTGACTTATTGAAAACCAGATTTATATATTACTCATTTGTCTTGTTTTGTGCGTATTTTCGTTGTGTAAATGCAGTGATTTTCGTTTCCACATTTTCCCAATAAAAACAAGTCTCCTCGTTGAATTCATTTCACCAATCTATAGATAATTGTTGTTTTAGAACTACGTTAAAAAAAGGAACGGAGACATTAAATGACACAAGAAACATCCAATGTAATTAATCTTGAAGATACCTTTCACCTCTATGGTCACTCAACTAAGAAAAGATATGTACTCAAACTGTCGCCAACACATCTTTCTATTACAACGATATCGAATGAAACTGATATACAACTGGTGCCAATCGACGATATTTACGGATGTTTGTGTATGAAATCTGTTCATAAAACCAATCAATGTCTTATAACATTCTATGTTTATGCCTTAAGACCATCGCGTGGTTTAAGTAGAATTCTTTCGCCCAAGCGTACCTTCCGTCGATCAGAATATGTCTTTGCATACGGAAAATATGACAATTTCGATGCGAATCAAGCTGAAATTATATGCTGGCATCGACAGGTAACACACGCGGTCTATTTAAGACGAAATCTTCCGAGTAAATCTCGCTTTCAAACATAATCAACGACCAATTTTAGTTCATTTAGTTGATATTGTTACAACTAGAGGAGATAAGCGTGCACTTGTCTTGGTTAATCCAGCAGGTGGTTCGGGAAGAGCTTATCGGATGATTATGGAACATGTTATTGGCATTTGGGCCGAAGCGGAATTCAATCATCAACTACTTATTACCGGTTAGTCAGTACAATGTTATTCGGAAAGATTCGTAGTGGATTATTTTGTTTCCTTGTTAGAATATGCTGGTCATGCACGAGATTTCGTACAATCCTTAGATTTGAATGAATGGAGTGGTATTGTTGTAGCTTCCGGTGATGGACTTCTTTATGAAGTAAATAAGCCATTTTTGTAGATAAGTAACTTCTATGAGAACGATTTATAATTTATTTGTAAAGGTTATTAATGGTCTATTCAGTAGAAACGATTGGCAAGATTCTTTGAAACTACCCATCGGACATCTACCATGTGGTTCTGGTAACGCTTTTATTACAAGCATTGTTCGTCATAGCAAGTAAGTAGAAAAGTTCTGTAGTCGGTATGAATTGACATTGAGTACGATCTCCACAGACAACCAATTGCTGATAGCATGTCGCAATATCTTATTCAATGTGCTGTACTGATAGCCACACATCAAGTGCTTCCGTTTGATATGGCTGTGATTGATACCTGTGATGGACAACGTGTATTTTCTTTGCTTAGTGTTGAATGGGCTGTCATTGCCGATGTAGATTGTGACAGTGAAAAATATCGTTTTCTTGGTCAGGAAATATTTCATCCCGATAAAGAATGAAATGCTGACTTTGGTTTTCTTTCTTTTGGATTAGGTGGAACTCGATTTACGGTTGAAGCTATCAAACGCATTCTTCGTAAGTAATCTGATTCACTTTCTGAAGGTTATCGTAATCGTTTTCTATTGAAATAACCTTCGCCGATATCAGTAAATATTTAATTATATTTTAATCTTAACTTTGCTGTATTCAATAATCGTAGAGTTCCTATTTGACATCTCTACTGATAAGATAACTATTCAAGGTTTTTCGTTTATTCAATGCACAAAAAATGAAATTATTGATCAGAATCTGATTTCTTTTAGGACCTCGTGTTTACAATGGTTATATCGATTATCTTCCATATGAAGTCACCGACGATACCGTGCAAAGTGTTCAAATAACACCAAACACGACCACTGCTCAACTTCATCGTCATCTTTTACCATTAAATGAACCTATTCCAATTGATTCATCCACAAGTAAATGGCGACGTATCGATGGTCCGTTTGCCTATGTTCTCGTAACATCGAAATCAGCTCTCTCAAAAGATACTGTGTCGAGTCCGCAATCGTCATTAGCAGACGGCTATCTGACATTACAGTTTATCCGTACACGTGATTCTTCACGAATGAATTTAGCAAAAATGTTCATCGGCTTAGACGATGGAACGCATTTTGATTATGATTTCGTTGAATGGATGCCTGTACGAGCTTTCCGAATAGTACCAAGTGAAACCGACGGAAATCTAATGGTTGACGGTGAAAAAGTTCCCTATGGTAAAAAGCAGTTGAAGCCATCGAGAAGATGAATGTAATGTTTTTCTTTGTAGGTCCTCTTCAAGGTGAAGTGCTACCAAGCATTGCTCGTTGTATGGGTAAACAGCCAAGAATCGATTAAATGATTTCTAATGTGATAATACCAGTGTGCTTTGTATTTCTATAACATTCTTTATTTGTAATCGAGTAATTTTTTATAAATTCAAATCGGAGTTGCTTAGCATTTAATCAACATTTTTTTTCACAATAAAAACCTTTTGTTTTGAACATATAAATATATGGTTTAAATGTTTTTTTTATCGCATAACAGAGTTACAGGGAACAACGAAATCTATGGATTAGTGAAATTCATATTTACTTACTAAACGAGAACTCAGAACTTATTGACAGTTTCCTGTTTCTCTCTTATGCTTAGTATCGAATGAAGGAGCGAATTGCCTTCATTGATTAACTTATGAATATCCACATCATCCCCTCATTGCTTTCCTTCCCCTTACTCAGACGATAAAGATGATTTTAAGAGCAACATGAAATTATGCACGAATTTATTATTGTTTGATTCATAACTAAACAATTATTAATAAATTAAGTTAAGAAAAACTAAACTAGAAGATATTTTATCACTGTTTTTTTTTTTGTTGCAATGGGAACCGTTTTACTTTAAACACATAAATCTACACGAATTGGCAATTGAATATCGGCAAAATCGAGTTTTAATTGTTCACTAGTAATTCTCCATTGGCTGTGAAGGTTATCACTAACACAAAGTAGATTTTGATAACTACTGGATGTGATAAAAGACATAGATGAACGATCAAGAGTATAATCGAATGGATACGTTCCGTGAACAAGAAGATTTCGTAAACGAATCGTTTTTGTTGATGGGGTTAGGACATTGGGTAAAGGATTAAACAAGAGGCCTTTCTCATCAAAACGAAGACCAGCATAGCCCATCATAACTGATTGAATAAATCCACCATCACCAGTGAGAAAATGAGTGCTGAAATGGAGTAAACAAATATGGTCATTGGTGTTCTTTTGGAATAAACTGAAATCCTACTTGAATTCATGTCCGCCAATGATGTCAGGATGAATATCCACCTATTCGATTGAGATGTGAAAAGAGATCAATGCTCCATGATGTCAAACAATCAAAAAGAAACAAACCTCATTTCGAACATGAAATTCTCCATAGGTACATGCTTGTAAAGATCGATTAAATTCACCCTCAGCTTTCCATGTTTCATTCAACATAAGCCACACGATCGCATGAATCGGACCTGTCATACCAGCATTTTCTTGACATGTTATAGGAATGTACGTTTCAGCATCGTTTCGCATGATTTCCGGAGTGATGTTAAAATTCATTGGGTACGTTAGATATAGAACATCTTGAACATAGTTATGATTTAGTACATTATCAACATAGACAAATGAGGATGAAATTACCTTCCGGACAAATGTAATGGTTCGGTAATATCGCCAATGTGGCTAAAAGGAGAAACAAATAAAACACTTAATTCGAGCGTTAGATTACCGTTGTCCCATTGGATATGTGTTTGAGTTGTTGCATTGAAATTTATTTTCAGCTTGTTTGCTGTTATAGCCCATTCCGGATCAACATCGAATCCAAACATATTTCCTACTTCCGTGGCATACAGTAAAGACACTACAGCGACTGCATTCGTTTGAATAGCATTATTGATACCGATATCACCACATTTTGATTCCGTATTATCACACCATTCGTCAACGGGCATTATGCCATTGATTGAATAAGTTTCGTTATTTGATTTATCTGTTCGGCTGGACCAAAATCGAGCAATATCACGAAGAAGTGGCCAGCCAACATTTTGCAGCCAAACACGATCACGTGTCGCATAATAATATGTTCTTACTGCCACAGAGACATCGCCTGTCACATGCTGTTCGATGCAATTTTCCCAGCCACCTTTTCCATCGCAACAACCCTAAATTTTATTACGGAACACGTCTAACACAGAACGTTATGTTCTATTAACTTACCTGCGGTCGACCAAAGTATGATCTAAAAGAAAATGGCAATCTTCTAAACTTCAGATGGTTAAACTATGACATACGCAGTCCAAGCGAACATGGCTCCTTTGTAACCGAAGACCTGTGCAATTTTATTCGATTCTGATAAACTATTGTATCGATAACGAAGAATATTAGCAGCAATCGATGGATAGAATGGTAAAAGTGCAGGCATCATATACCTAAGGGAACATATACAGTTTACAAAACACATCGAAAATGATTACTTACCAGTCCATGTCCATAAATATTACACCGGAATAGGATTGAGAAGCTAATCCACCCGGACTAATACCATATCTTCCAAGAAAAAACATCTTAGCTGAACATCATGAAGATGTACAAATACTTACGGCCAATCATCTCTTGTACTACATAGTAAGTAATAAAGAGAAGTATTTACATGTTGAGCGATATCAAGTGCTCGAGAAAATGTTGTTATAATTGTATCATTTTGCCCATCCCTGTTTGTATCCAAGAGTCTTCTTGGTAATACGAATGGTTCTGTCTCAATAGGTTCGATATCAATACCAGATTCCCAGAGATTTTGCCAAGCTTGAACATGTTCATCGAAGAGTTCATTTCGTTTAGTCCATGCTTCGTCAAAACGATTGATTGCTTCTAATGTAACTGTTTTTTGTTCGATTGGAGCAGTACCAAAGTCAATACTACTAGCTAAAGTGGAAATATAACGTAGAACTGGTACTGATGAAGAAAGGGTTAATGTTTCATCTGGCTGTTGAGTACAAACAGTAACGTAAACATATCGATCATAATCATCTTGGCTTAAAAGAACACCTTCATATACGCTCATCGATGATGTCGAGAGATTTGAATTGAATGTAAATTTAATATCAACTTCAACACCACCACCGCCTGTGCAAGCGGTTTCAGGATTATGTGTTTGATTAAGTGGATCGAATGTTGAAGAAAATATGAAGGGTACAGCTGTTGATGTCGGTGAAAGAAGCGAAAATTCAAGAACCATAACACCTTTTATCTACGAAGAAATCCATTATTTACTAAATACGATTCACAAAGCGATGTGATTTCTCTGAAGTTCTTACATTTCGACTGATAAAAACTCGATGTTCAACAGTAGCATCATTTATCTGGTAGCGCCGTGCAAAGACTGCTTTATCCATATGAAGACCACTAGCAATTAACTCTCCTGACATAATTGAACCTCCGATCGGCGACGGAACTCTCGCTTTTCCAATATTTCCACACTAGAATATACAGTAATATTCGATATGAGCAAAAGAAAAACAGTGAAAAGTTCCGTATTTCGCTATTTTGAGTCGACCATACGTATACATCAAAACAGTAGGAATTCGACTTCATTTAACATGGATCTATCCTATAGACTATTGAAAACATTTCATGGTACTTCACTTACACTTCAAGATGGAAGTGCGATGAAGCATTTAGCCTTTATTTAGGTTAGTTTCGTATTTAATACTGTCAAATTAGTAGTTGTTTGATGTGCATGTCTGGTAGACTCAAAATAGCTAAAAACATTTCGAAGATATCTCTGAAACGCCTTTGAAGCACGGAAATTTTCGCTTGTTTTCTCCCGTGGATATGCGACATTCTTCTAACATCTTCATTACTTTGCCAGTGAACAGACCACTTTGGAACAGAGCTGCCGACATTGCTCCTGTAGCAATATATCCATTGCCAATTTCTGGTAGAAAACAGAAATGAGGTTCAGGATTTGCATAGAGAATCTTTCCGCTATTGACACCATCTTGCCAATCTTCAGGTGGTAAATATCCTTTTCGGATGTACAAATCGACATTGTGTGTTACGTCGTAACAACAACCAGCATCACAACCGGCTGTGCACGACTTTAACAAACCATTTGTATTAAATCCTTGACATACCGGATTAGCATTACAATGTGCAGCTAACTCTTCGATATCACATTCTTTTGAGAACCCTTAAGTAAACTCATAATCGGTTTTTTTCAATTCACTCAAGCGTGACAGATATTGTTTACCTTCGCCACATTCAAAATAGGCAATATCATGACCAACAGCATCAGTCTTCGACATTTTCAAGTAATGATTCACCAATGCCAAACACCCGTGCATTGTGAGCAATATCAGTAAGTACGCTTTAGCCATAATATCCTTCCAAATCAATGCTTGATTGATGAAAGCATACAAACTCAGGTGTTTGTGTATTTATGTCATATCAGAATGAAATAATATTTATTGGTTGATGAAATACAACCATCGCTGTTCAGTAGAATAAGATGTCACCTGTATTCAATGAGTAATCAGAATTCAATTGAAGTAAGACGTCACATACCATCTATTTTAATTACATAGAACGAGTATTTACATTGCATCTCAAGCTGCATTTATAAAAAATGATTATAGTTTTCATCGCAGGCCGGAAAATATGAGATTTCTTTCTGTTAGTAGAAAGCGTAAATGCAGCCGAGGGAACAAACGATGATCGATGTTTGTGTTACAGCTACATTTGGAGTTTATTCTCGTCGTATTCATTTGTTTCTTATCTATTATATTATGCATTATATTAACATCTGGTTAACAAAAATACACTCTACCCGAAAGCAAATAGAATTTAAAAAAGCGAAGTAAACACTACATTTCTTCCCTTCGTTTTAGACTTTGAAGGAAAATATTCGAGAAGAACCGTTAGAATTAATAATAAATCAACTCCCTCTGTTCTGGATAAAACTATCAGGTGAGTTTAATTAATCCTTCATAATTCATTTCATTAGGCGCATGAACAGCAGGTAATCTCACAAAAGCTGAATATTTCATCATTCCGTGTAAGAATAAACATGGCAAAATTAATTATCGAATGCATTTAATTATAATCGGCGGCGCAATAAAAAATACTTGCCTAGTTCTCTCCCTCCAAAAGATAGAGCGGAAACCGCTTCTCTCGACGATTCAGATAAGAACTATTATTTCTATTCGGTAATATTTTATTTGCAGTCAATGATCGTTCGGATTTAAGTCAAGTTCGACCTTTTTTTTTTCTTCTTTTGACTGGAAGAAACGATTATGAGACATAGATTTATTTGAAAGATCATATGCTTGAAGAAATTACTGTTAACTAGTATGTGTTACTTCGAGAACCTTGTTAAAACAACAAAAAAGCCATTAATTAAGCACAATCGGATTGTTCAAAGCGAGAAAACTTCCATTCATTTGTCTTTTGTGATTCTCGTATTTTTCCTTTTTGGATTTGTTTACCCTATGTCGACAGGTTTTTTTTTCTTCTATTTATGAACGATTCAATAGTACAGCGTCGAGATGAGAGAGACGAAGAGAGAAAACCAGTTATTTCCGACATCCTTTTTTGTCTTTTCATCCGTTTTGATTTGTTTGCATATCGACTTATATATATATAATATTCTCGTTTTTACTACTGGCACGTTTGCAAAAACTCCTATTTCTTTGTTTTTTATTCATAGACAGTAAGCTGAACGATGCAGTTAGAAAGAAGACAACTGGTTTTCATCATTTTTGGATGGTTTATTTGTCCTAGTATGTATTTCATGCTTGACAAAAGCAACTGTTTGATTAATCCTTTTGTATTTCTAGGTTTCGAATTATCCTGCATTCAATGCACTAGTCCAGTCGAGCGAATCACACAGAATTGGGATCATTCTTGTCTAGACGGAACATTAGCCAGTGTGGCTTGTAAAAAGCCGAATAACGAATCCAGCGAACCCTTCCTAAACTGTGTATCTGCTCTTTATCGCATAGGATTGAATACAAATGGAGGTAAGAAATCGTGATTATTATGCATTTCATCGGGAAAAAAGAAACTTCTTATGAAACTGTTTGTGTAAGAAAATTCTCCGCAATCATACATCGAACACTTCCACCACCACATTGTTCGATCGTTGACACATCGAAATAAACTAATTTGGTGTTGGTTTCTTCGATTGATCGTCGTTGTCTATCCGTTAAACAGTTGTGTGCTGACTTCGACATTACTAGGAGGTAATCTCCTTGATTGTTTCGTATTTCCAACATATTACCAGCAAACTGATTCATTTGTTCGAATGTAATGTCAATCACCTTTCGAGTGCCATTTTGTTCTAGCGATTGTACGATAGATTTTCGCTTAGTTTCGTCTTTGATTGATTGTAAACATATGATGGCTACATGTGTACCGATTGCCATCATCACATTGGTATGATAGATCGGCTTTTGATTGTGATCAACACTATCAAATATAATTGCTGGTTTTTGGTAATCTAATAACTTTGTAAATTGTTCAACAACTGCATCGTGTGTACGTGGCGATCGCACAGCATAGACAATCTTATTGATTCGATCGAGTACTAGTGAACCAGTGCCTTCAAGAAATTGATTTCGGTATTCAAGAACACTAAAATCAATGATAGCAGTAACGTTGTATCTTTGTGCTAAAGTTCTGATTAGATCATCTCGACGTTCCAATCGACGATTCGCTGCCAACATCGGATAGAGTACAATAGTACCTTCAGAATGAGTTGAAAACCAATTGTTTGGAAAAATAGCATCGGGTTTAATAGGTATTGATGTATCTTCGACGACATCAACATGAACATCATGCGAACGAAGCTGTTCAACCATACGATCGAATTCCGTCAAAGCGCGTTGTTGAATATCATTTGCTGATGATGAAACAGCATACTGATCATTTTGGAATGCATTTGAAACGGCTGTTTCTGTATTAAAACAGAAACAAGCTGGTCGTATCATAATAATCTGATTTGTTGATTGACTTTCTGCCATTATGGAAAAGAAAAAGGTTTTTTTGTGCCGTGGTTTATGAATGTGATGCTTTCGTTTACTTTTCTTGTTCTCTTATCGAAAAATGTGATCACACGTAGATTACCCTCGTGACATATGTAGTATTGCTTTTCTTTTTTTCTCTTTTTTCTATCTAGGTCTTCATATACATCGTGGGTGTTCGATGATTCAAGAAGTTCGACGCGAATGTGATCCACCGACGACAAGCATAAATTTAGACACAACATTAGACTTTTTCTGTAGTCGAACATGTTCCAGCAATGGGTGCAATCAACATTCTGTTATTGATATTACTTCGAGTATGAATCAACGCTTTTCTAAGATTGAAATGTTTTTTAAAATAATTTTCATTACTTTCATGCAAATCTTTTTTCTTTTCCTATTGTAATAAACTATGTCATTATTCTTGTTGAATTATAAATAGCACGCCTTTTGACCCACTTGTCTTTTTTCGAGGTGTCATCATGCGATTAGGTATGCAGTCCATTCTTGTGTCAAATTGCAATCTCGGGAAGTCGCGACGTTTTTATGTCTCGCAGAAAAGTTGCTTTCTTCTCAATGTGAGTCAACGATATTCTCAGTTCATTTATTTCTCGATATAGCTCAGAAAACAAAACAACATAAACTATATGCATAGAATTTACAATTGCACATAAGGCTTAAAATATTCACATTTGTTTCGTATTCGTGTCTATGGGAGTTACGTCAGTCGACGACTAAATAAAGAATAGAATTGCTTTTTATAGAGGGCGATAGAATGTATATTCGAATTCTTACTCGGCGTAAAAAGTTGATCGATGACGACGACTGACGATTAGTTGGTAATGGTGGTTTGGATATTTTCACTCGTGATCCATCAGGATTGAAACGGACAGACAATCTCGAAGGTGTACCTTTATCTTTCGTCGTTGTTGAAACAATAGACGCATTGTTGTTTGATCGGTCCATGTCGACTTCCATATCACAATTTCCGTTGCTGGTCGAAGGAAGATCTGCAAAGGTAAACAAGACTGTCTAGTTGTCGGAAAATATGAATCAAAATGTATCAACCTTCGTTCGCCTGTGCGGCTATCGAAGTATTGTGATTTTGATGAACTTCATCTTGCGTATATATGTCGGAATTATCAATATTATCTTTAGATTGGCTAAGAACTTGACATGGTGATCTGCTCTGAACAGGAGACAATGTTGTTTGAACAGCTGTTGATGGACGATATTCACTAGGACCATCGGTAGTTGTTGTTGTAGTACAATTATCAACAGGTCTTCCATTACGAAAACGACCTTGTTTTAACGGTATTTTCGGTAGACGTGCGGCCATAGTTTCGGCATTGGTTCGTCGGGCTGTTGCTGGTGTGAATTCAAGTGGTGTATCGGATATAAATTCAACCTCGTTTAACACCTGTTTCAGAGCAGCATCAGTTTCCTCGGTTATCTCTGTCCAAGGATCAGTCGGATTATGATGTTCTCTCGAATAAATAGATGGATCATTTTGTTCGGTATCATCGATAGTAATTGTTTGGATAGGTGATGGTTCTCTTGTGTTTTCATCAAAAATCGTAGCTCGTTTTACTCTGCGAACATTTTTTGTAGTTCGAGGTGACGTAGATGAAGATACAGTCGTGTTCGTCATTTCAACTGGTGACATATCAACTTGAGACGATCTAAAGCATCAAACAGTCTTATCAATAGACAATGAAATACAAAGAGCTTGCCTAGTGACAGATTTCGGAGTAGTTCTTATCGGTGGTTGTGCATTGGATCGATTTGGTGTCATTGTTGCTTTATTCAATAGCTTCTGTTTCTAATCACATGTTACTATTAATAGAAGACAAATAAAATTCATAAATTTACCGTTAATTCACCGTCAGAATGCTTTCGAGTAGTTGATGATCGTCGTCGTGATTGTCGATGAAGATAATGTTGTGCAATGTCATTAGTCATTGGTACTAGTACGAGTTGTTCTGGTAATCCATGAGAAAGATTCTTTAGAACGGCTAAATGTGTTGAGCAACAATTGTACGATGATAATTGAGACAGCACAGAACAGATTAAACATGTCGCTGATTCACGATGACGATGATGTCGTGAAGTTCTTTTTCTTAATTTTGAACTTCGTGAATGTCGTTGTGACGATGTCGACGGCCCATCTTCGTCTGAATCTGATAGCTCAATATGTGATCTTCGATTGGATTTGGCTATTGATTGTTCATCATCATCGTCGTCGTCATCCCAAAGATTCGTTCGACCAGTACGTATTTTTTCCAATCGTCGAGCTATTTGAGACTTGATGGGTGGTGATGGTGACTGATATTTTCGTTTTCCTAAACATGAATAAAACAGAAATTTGTATAAAAGAACTAAGTCGAGATTTCGTGAAAGACTAACTTCTGCTCATTTTGCCTTGTCTATTGACAACCAAGAAGTATGAAAGTTGAATTGTAATTAAAACGAATCAAAAAGACAAATGTCGAACATTTGAGTGGACAATATCCTAACGACTATGAATCGTGGGCGAAAAGAGAGGGCGCTATTGTAACGAATTCAATTCGTTCGCGTCAATCATTGAACGCATATTCCCTGCAGGAACGACGTAGTATATGTTGTATAATATCTTGTAATGATAATAAGTAGGATATAATCGTGTCATCTGCCAATGCCAATGCTTGTATTACGATGTCACAAACTCAGTGTAAAGTTTTAATTTAAAACGCATTGAAATATAAGAAACATCTTTATTAATAACATAGAAAAGAGCAAGACGTAATGTCACTCTTCGTTCGAAAACGAACGAGTTCAAGTAGTAAAAAAGTGCTACAATGTGTGAATCGTTAAATATATGAGTTCATATGAGAAATGTAGTTAAAGTTCATTGATTGAGATTTAATGCAAGGATAATTATAGTATTATTGTATGTTCAAGATCTTTGTCAAGCTCAAAGTGACAGGTTTTTCATCCTCTTCTACTAGCACACGTCATAAGCGTTGCTGACGTTAACTTAATTCCATTAAGAGTATAAATATTCAAGCATTTTTCACAAACAGATACTTTCAAAACAAGCGATATTTGTGGACATGTCCAATTTAAATGCAACCATTTCGTTTCTTAACGCTCTTAGTCTCGTTCAAACGAACATTTCGATTTATGGATATTCGGTCATCCTTATCGTGGGCAATATTGGCTCAGTTTTAAATGTTTTCGTTCTTACTCGACGACAGTACTTACAGAATTCATGTTCGTGTTATATTCTTGCGTCAACTGTCACAAATTTGATTATTCTCAATGTTGTTGTGTTATTTCGTTTGTTAACCGGTTTCGACATTGACCCATCGAGAACGTCGGCATTTTTCTGTAAATTCCGTACTTACATTGTTCAAATGACTACTGCATTGTCGAGAATCTATATTGTTTTGGCATGTATCGACCGTTGGGCAATGACATCCACAGTTGTCCGTCGACGTTCATTCACAAATAGAAAAGTTCCGAAGATTCTCATTCCCATCGTGGCAATAGTATGTGGCTTATCGTTTATTCACATACCGTTTTACTATGATATCATTCGAAGTAAGCACGCTGAAAGTAAAAGCGTTCAAAGCAATCTATTTCTGTCTTCTAGGTCGATGTACGACTACGTCAAATAGTTACTTGCAGTTCTATAATATTTTCAACACAGTTTTATCAGGAGTCACCATTCCTATTCCAATGATCATTTTTAGTATATTAACAGTTCGTAATGTTAAAAGACTTCAACATCGTGTTGATAACAATACATTGCTCACTGAACGAATCATTCCGAACAATATTGTCAACAAAAGACATCATGACTATCAACTATTCTATATGATTTTTATTCAACAGTGTGTTTACATTATAACAACTTTACCATTTGTGTCATATCTATTGTATATCACTATTACCATGTATTCAGTGAAATCGCCTGTTCAAACTAGTATCGATAATTTGTATATGACGGTCGTCTTTACATTTGTTCATGTTAACTTTGCTGCAACATTCTACATTTATGTATTGATATCGCATACATTTAGAAAGGATTTAAAGCGCTCATTATTACGCGGTCGTTTGATAACTTGGATTAGTGGAAATCAACAAAATCGAATAACCGTCGCATCGGTTCCACTTGAAATCAATTTACCTCCACGAACATAATTAGACGATCTTAGGCTCCGCAACCTTTTTTAGCTTATAATAATAACCGCATTGAAATGTCAAGAGTGGTTGGAAATGTATTTAAGATTTGTTTTATTGAAGAAAAGGAAAAAATAAAATCGCACAAAAAGAAATGTTGTTTATCATATTGATAAATGTATACAGTAAACTCTATTTATCAGTTAAATCATTTTTTTGGTGCAATCAAGCCTTCCAATTGAGCCTAAATGAAAGAGAATACTCATCAAATGAATATGTCATTATTTTGAATGAAATCTTACCTTCAATTGTTGATTAGTTTTCTTCAAGAAGTTAATTTCTTCCATGTGTTTTCTTTCTTCAACCTGTCGTTGTTCGTTAAGTTTCTTTTCGGCAGCTTCAGCATTGGCTTTGGTTTCTTTCAACTGCCGTTCGAGGTCACGTTTATCTTCTTCGAGTTGTATCAACTATAAAATACCTTATGAAAAGCAAATCTCATACGTTTCTTCGTTTACGTACTTTACGTTCCAATTCTGATTTGCCTTGTTCAGCCATTAGTGCTTTGCGCATACCAAATGCTACGCTACTCTCGTACAGGGTTTGATAAGCACGTAATGTCATTTGAAGTTCATCACGTACACGAAGAAGAAGTAGACCACGTTCAGCACAATTGATAGCGACTTGTCGAATAAGTTCATCTGGAAGACAATCCAACAATTGAAAGAAAAAATCTTCTAATTAAGTGTTTACCGAAGCATTGTGAAAATAATTCACGACGTACAGGGCAAATACCAGTTTCTCGAGCTTGTCGTTGTTGTAAACGCATATCTAACTGTTCTTGTAGATTGATGACATCGAGACGCGTTGCTGGCGTTGATGAGATACGTTGACAATAGAGTAGATCAGCATTGTTTGGATCTTTGGTAATTCTATTTTTATAGAGAAAATGAATGAGACAATGAAATGATAATTCTCGAGAAGGAGAAAATACTTTGGTGGAAGAATTTTATCGAGAATTTCTTCCAGTGATAAATCTTTCATTGCTGCCTGTTTTTTGGCTAGTCGAGGTGAACCTGTACCACCAGCAGTCACATCCATCATTTGCTGATCCAATCCTGTTGATTGCTTACTAGGGCCGGCACCTTTACGATCTTTATCATTTTGTGATGTTATCAGTGTTGGATTATCGAAACGAACGAGCGAACCAGAGGGTGGAATGATTGACATATTTAGTCAGAAAACTGATAAATCTCTTATGTAAGGATGCGTTCCTTTAGCAAAACAAAATCTTCAACTATTTGTTTCTAAACAACGTTGCTAAAAGTAGACGCCATTGGTGTATGTTTACAGACGAGTTGCATAGCAACTGAATTGCTGCGAGCAAATACGAAAGATTTGGAAGATTTTCGAAAGATATAAAAATTAATTGAAAATAACGATATGTATGGGTTTATTTAGAAATCTATATTATTTATTCAGAGAAACTGCTGCCATTGGTTGATCTATTTAACTAATGGAAAGTGAGAGAAAAACAAACTCGTTCAATTCTGCAACTTTTTGCTTTCCTTCCTCTCAATAAATAAGACTACAAAAAATATATATATATTATAATCTGACAAACATATATTGCTCACCTTTCCACGTCGACATCTCTTGTCCACGTCATCGTAGAAAGTCGGCTCGGCTACATATTCGTTCGATTAAAGCTTGATTTTAATCATAAACGATGGGTCAAATGTTCGATCGACAAGTTGCCGGGCCGACACTGCATACTCAAAAACAAGGTACAGATCTGTTTGAATTCAAAACTCGAACAAATAGCCGTACATGCCTATTCTTTCCATTTAGTTACCAAAATTTCCGATATATCCCAATTACCACCTGAACTAGCTTTGCAAATTCTCAAAAATTTAAATGCAACTGATCTATGCCTTGCCTCGTGTGTTTGGCAAACATTGGCTAACGATGAAATCCTTTGGCTCGGGTATGTAAAGAGAAAGTAGAATTGATAAATATTGACTATTTTCTTTTCTTCATTTAAAAGATTATGTAAATCAAATTGGGGCTATGCATCTGTATACAAACGAGCTCGTGATGAAGGTATTTCATTCCGAAGGATTTATTTACAACTTGACGAAGGTACATTAAGATTCAATGCTGGACAGGTATGTAATGATTTCGACTTTTAAATGTGCATTAATTGACATTTGAATGGTTAGGGATTGCAATATTTTCTTGAAAATCGATTAATTGACGACGTATGCGAAGAAATATGTCAATTTTTTCATAATACAAGAAAATTGCGGTCCGTAGAGAAACGTAAATTATTACAAACACGGTAAGATATCAACAGCTTTCGTACTTTTAATCTTCTATCGTTGATTGCCTAGCCGTGACATCTTGGAGCGTCTTGTTGAACTTCAATCTTACGAAAATCAATTTCTACCCAATGCTCTACGTCAATTCTTTGCAAAACTTGATGCACCTGAAGATCGAAATGAGTACCTATCAATTTTGATCGAAAATTTTTCCAAACGCTTTCATGAATGTAACAAAGACCTTGGCTTATCGACTGGTTCGTATATCATTTGCTCTCAGTAATTACCTATTGCTTCGTGCACGTACTTTTAGAGACAATCTACGTTTTATGCTTTTCATTGATTCTTCTTTCAATTGATCTTACATCACCACATGTTAAAAATAAAATGTCAAAACGTGAATTTATTCGTAATACACGTCGTGCCATAATTAATGGAACATTAAGTGACGAATTAGCTGGCCACTTATATGATAATATATATTTGATTGGTCATGTCGCGCGTTCAACCACCGCTGCAAATTGAATAATCAAAACGTCTTTTTTACGCACAACAAATTCCTCCCGGTTATTTACCTGTATAAACACGTTTTTCTTTTATGAGAGCTTCGTTTATTTTATATTTTGCCTCCTTTTCTTTCCGTTTATTTTGTATGTTGATGTGTCTCCATCAATTTGTCTTTTTCTTCTCTAAGAAAGAAAAGCCAGTGTTTACATAATAAATTATCAGATGTCGAGTTTTTCTAGAAAATATTCGTTACTTTCTAGTAATCATTACTCAAAACAGTCATTGGTTTTGAGATGAGAAACAACTGTCACACTTTATAACAAATCTCTTTTTCATTTGTTACTGTTGAAAGATATGATTACCACTCTCGGAACACCGATAGCGAACCTAATTCACATGGATAGTGAAAGGGGTTCATTGATATTTTTCTACTCCTACGGAACGAAGTTTCATCAGTTCATGGAGAGCGTCAACGTCAATAACAGATGATTTTGCCTTGTCCTTGATTAATTTGAAAGTGTTGCTTGCAGCTTGATCTCTTCGCCGTCTCTACACACCGAGTTTCGAAAGAAGTGACAGAGAAAGTGAAAAGTGTAAGGACTGGCTAGATGTCGTGGTTTTCGGAAGAAGGAGAAGGTTGCTTATTACAACTTACCAAGAGGTAAATGATCTTACTAGATCAAATACATGTTGCGATGACGAAAACGAGCGGATCAGTGGTAACACTGATCTGCCAGAGCGACACTTTCTAATTAATGAAGAAGAAAACAAATGCGAAACATTATGATGACCCTCACGTGAGGGTGTGATGATGTTGGTCATCAATTGTAGCAGCAGACAGAATTCATAGATTGAAATCTGTACGACTTCCACTACTTTTGGATCGATGTTGGTTGCTCCTGCTGTACCCAAAAACATTCCTGAAAAGTCTGATTCAGTCGTTTCTTCAGAGATGTGTTCCGTTATCGAGAATCAAGGTATGATATCGGACCAGTTCTCAGTCATTGTATTTCATATGTTTTGTCTTCATGACAATCGAACATGACGCCGAATTATATCTGCTTGAATGATTTTACTTGGACAGTTCTGGTCTATTCAAGGCAACGTAAAGAAGTCAATACAAAAACTTGACATCGATTTTGTTGAAAAGAAAGTGATTCATGACCACAAAACTTAGGTTCAAACTAAAACGAATGAATAGTGGTAGGATATGATGTTTGTGATCCTATAAACATTGTTGGATTCATTCAAAGATGCAAAAATCCTAAAACATGAATAATCGAAGAAATGAAAATCAGATATGAAGAAACACATGTTGAGATAAGATTTTGTTCATATATAGTTGAAATATAGGTAAAAGCAGTCGAGAAATGATTGATTTGAATACTATTTCCACAATTCTAATCATATCATACGTAAAAGCTATACAAATATAAGTTCTTACAACCATTATAAAAAAAGTCATTAAGAGATATTTCTATAGAATATAAACAACCGAATAGAGAGTAAAATGAACACTTTTATTATAAATATAAGTAAATGAATTACTTGAGTCATAATCATGATTCGAGTAATGAGTATTCTATTCAGATACGGTCTAATGAGATCAGAAATTAGAAAACTAACTGACAGTTTTTCTAAATTTGACTGAGTGCACACCTTGACAAACATGATTTTGAAATTATTTTTTTCATCAATGGATTTACTTGGGTGTTCAGATAGAAAATCATAGTGAAAAGCGATGCATAGATTATACGTGACGACTATCAAAAGTTATTTCTCCATTTATATATGAGTTGCTTTTGTTGAACATTTCTATTCTTCCTTGGAAAAACCTTTCTCATCTATGCAGTTTTCTTCTCTATCCGTTAGTCCTTCTTTCTCCGGATTTTTCCTTTTGTATTTGTTTGAATATCAATATTATTAATTGTATACAAATCTATGAAAGAAAGAAATATCGGGGAATATCTGTAAATAGTAGAAAAAAGATCAATTTGGATCTTAGATAATAATAGTTTAAGGTAAATTTTTGTGTTAACTTCTTATGTCTTATTATAATTGTCATTTGTTGAATAAAAATTCTTTCGACAGATAATGATGAACCATGTTAATAGAAAGTTGTCTTTCAATGTAAGCCATTTGATAATAAATGTACATATATAGTGACAACAAACATTTATCCAGAATCGAAGAGATAAACTTGATTTAAAGGCTTTTGGAATGATACTTTTCTGAAGTTAGTTTGTAAAGCAATGATGACATGTTCCATTGTTGATGATACCAAGAGCAATAATTTGTTTACCACCGATCGATATTGTCTAACTAATTGCCTCATGTATCAATTTAGAATGTCCCGCTGATCTTTTGTTGACACTCTCGAAAGGCATCAATATGTAAGAGAGATGCTTTTCAAAATCTGTGTAACATTTCTTCTTTCTTATCAACACAGTTATTCGCCCTAGAAAATCGCATGGATGATACTTCGGAGTGTGTACTCAAGGAGAGATTCGTTTCAGCTTTGACAGGTCTTGAAAGTCGCTTTTCAGATATTGACGTATATGGAATCTTTTCCATCGATTCGGTGCCGTATTTCTTTCATTTAAAGTGTGTATTCATCGTCGATTTCGTTGAAGAAAAGCGCTAAAAAAGAAAACAATCTTGAACTAGTTTGATGGATGTGCCATGATCGATGAAATCAGAGCCATGCACTAAAATAGGATTTCGACGGTAACGACTGATGTGATCAAATGATTAGCTGGATTCTACGGTGGTTGTATCTGTGCATTTGAGTTTCATATACATAAGAGATCTTCTAGATGTTATAGTGTATCGATGAATACAATTCGTGACAACAATTCAGATACAGGTTACATAGAAAAAACTATATGTTGTCTTGTTTCGAATTCACGATTATCTTAGTTACATTCGAAACAAAAGATAAAAAGACTCGTCATTGCATCCGCAGTGATTTCGCATAATATCTCGATGGGACCATATTGTGCTTAAGTTATCACCGAGGAAAATACAATAACCATTCTTACAGATAGACGTGGTCTACGAAGTTTGGTTTCATGTTTTACATTTGAATGATGTGATTCCCGTTCCCGAAGGAACGGGAGTGGACCGAACTCGACGGCACTGCAGTGTCGAGACGATCCGTGGCACAGGTCCGAGTGAACCCGGGTGATCCTGGCCCATGTCCAAAAATCCGCTTGAAAGAGCCTGGCCCCGATGGGACCAGCGCCGGCTTTCAAACCGACGAGAACAGATACTACACTTTGATCTTAGCCGAAAAGGCCGAGAAGCGATAACTAACATCACAAATTCCTTCATCTTTTCTCCCTCATGTCTCCACACATTTGATATTTTCGATTTTTACGAAACGAAGTTTCATCAGTTCACAGATGAATGACGTCATTCGTGTGACTAAGTACTGCGAAGAAGCGAACAAAGATCGAAGATGTAATTTTTCTTTTTTTTCGATTAATTAGAAAGTGTTGCTCTGGCAGATCAGTGTTACCACCGATCCGCTCGTTTTCGTCATCGCAACATGTATTTGATCTAGTAAGATCATTTACCTCTTGGTAAGTTGTAATAAGCAACTTTCCTCGTCGAGGGCGAGGACACGACGTTTCTCGAGTCCCTACACATCGCCCTTTGTTTCGCTTTTCCTCAAACGCTATGTGAAAAGACACGAGTGATATCGTGCCTTCGCCTTCGACGAGGAAAGTTGCTTATTACAACTTACCAAGAGGTAAATGATCTTACTAGATCAAATACATGTTGCGATGACGAAAACGAGCGGGCTGGTAGCAATACTAGCCTGCCAGAGCAACACTTTTCATTAAAACATAAAGTAGCAAGGGACAGAGAGAGAGAGACATCAGTGCTATACTGTACACGTAACTTATGTGAACACAATAGTGATGAAAAACGATGATATTACGTAAGCTGACGAATATGATTTTGTGGCAAACTAGATTTTAATCAAAATTAATAATTGATTGGAAAATTCGAAGACATAACTTATACTGACTAAATCTAGGATGAAAAAACTACCCGCCAACAGTTCAACAGTATGGTGGTGTAACGACGAGCTTTATTTAAGGTGATTCGTACTGCCTTTATTTCAACAAAACCTTTCCTTTTATATTGGTTCCCTCATTTCTCTTTTTTTGGGTGCATCGGTCAAGCGAGAACCGAGAGAGAAACACGAAGAAGAGAAAACAATCATTAGATGAACTGTTAAAGATGAATGTGTTGTGAGACGAGGCGAATAGATATAATAAACAGGAAGTAGAAGATAATGATATATACGAGAGTCATGTGTTTGTGCTCGAAAGAGTTCATTGATGAATACATAAATGTTGTCACAAGTGGCATGAACCATATCCTGTGGCCCGCAAAATAACTATTTTCAACTTTCAAACTTGTCACTCTGGGTACTACTATATCCTTATATCGCATTACTGTGTCTAACTATACACAATGAGGTACACAGATGAAGACAATGAGAAAAGGATTCGACGACATAATTACAATTTGCTCCATTAATATCAATCCTTTGATCGATAGAAACTACAAATTCGACATCGTTTTGAAGGAACTTATATTTATCGCGAAGTTGCCTTTTTGCCGGCTTTACAGTTAAAATATTGACACTGATCTGAATTTGCCGCAAAATCAAATTCCTCATTACTTCTAATATTATCATTTTGATATTTTATGAAAGAATGCAAGTAGACCATACTCGACGGTACTGCAGTGTCGAGAAGATCCATGACTAGGGGCCCGAGTCAACTCAGGTGATCCTAGTCGGTATCCAAAAATCCGCTTGAAAGAGCCTGGCCCCGATGGGACCAGCGCCGGCTTTCAAACCGACGAGAACAGATACTACACTTCGATCTTAGCCGTGAGGCGAGAAGCGATAAAGCAAACTGTAGAAATGTGTGTTTTAAAAATCTGTCTGTCTTTACTGATGTCGTACACTTTTACTACGTGAGTCAACATTGCGAATA